TAGTTTCTCTGAGAGTAAGACAATATTATTGCCTCTAGTCCAACAAGAGTTCAGCTATGCCATTTCAATAGGAGGTTACAGCAATGCAATACAAATAGCCTGAACTGTATTTCTGAGTGAATAAGTAAAAAGAACAGATATAAAAATATTTATAAAGATTCACACATGGACATGATGGATGATTATTAAATATATATTTGAATTCCATGGGTTAGAAAATAAAAAGATGAAACAGTGAATGGTGTATAATCATGACATATACAAACTTAACAAATGTAATTTTCAATTTAAAAGTTGTTAACTTATCAAACCTAATCTTAAGGTTTTTAGTTTCAGTTCATTAGTATTCTATGCAATAATGAAATTTATTATTCTTTTACTAATACAGAAATATGAAGTAAATCTATTTCTTAGAAACTGAATTCTATGAGAAAAAACATTACAAATTCAATAGTCCATGAAATAATATGTATACTCATCAGGTACTCAACCTGTAGGTTAGTTAAAGTAGTTTAATCTCTGATCCATTCAAAATAGGTAACGGTTATAAGGAAACTACAGAAATATTAAAGAGCTGGAATACTAGCTTTGTTAACTCCCTTCCTTTCAACAAAATAGGTTACAAGCGTACAGAAGGGTCAAGGATAGCTGCAAATCTGTAACCAAAAGGGAGGGAAGGAGAAAAGGGGTTGGAGGCAGATAGGTGGGATTGCGGGGGGCGCATAACAGAGAGAGGGAGGGAGAGAGAGAAGGGGCTTCGTCAAGCAAGGATTTACAGCGAGTTCTTTACATACGCAGAAATGAGTTTATGTAATGTACTATCATGGATTTAGCCTTCTGAGAAAGGACAATTGAATTGGACTTCTGTTTACCTTACCTAAGCCTCAGATATTCTGCCTTAAAAATGGAATGGTAATATCTATCATGCCAAATTTGCAAGTATCAAAAAAGGTAATGTATAAACAGTGCCTAGCATAAGAATTGAAAGGACACATACTCTCAACAATATTTCATTTCCTTTTTTATTTTCTTTAGACTTTATATTCCTTATCATATTATTTTCCCTAGAGAATTCATCACTTCGAATTCCTTTCCAGCATATAAATAACACTGAATCCCCAACTCTCTCTGTTCTGTGAATTTCTCCTGTATTTACCATTATTTGTTCACTGTGTTGAAAGGTAAAGTTAGAGTTTGATATGTTTGTGTCTTCATATTATAAAATCAAGGAGATAAGATATTCTCAGATATCCATTCCATATGACTTATAGTTTGATCATTGTTCTCTATCTTCATAGATATTTCCCCCTGATGTTTTGCTGTTACTTTTTTTTGACCAACACTGCAAAATAGTACTTACTACCTTTCTTGTTAAAGAAATCACAACTGCTAATTTCATGGTTTCAATAGCTACAAAAAGGTCTTAACTATCAAAAAATTAAAGTAAACAGACAAATTTACAGGATTAGTTAGAGCTTACATCCATAAAATGTTTAGTTTTAATCTACAATTTTTTCATAAAAGAACTTCAAATTTTCTATGTTAATGATTACTCTAAATACAGGGAATTGAGGCTGTGAGCACTTGTATAACAGTCATCATCATGAGGCTCTTCACTATATTTTAAGCAATCACAGGAATAACTTGGAGATGGTGTCTTTATTTTTGGTGGGTTCTCCACCAACAATTTTAAGGAACTATTTTAATTGGCTAGTGATGATAAAATATAATATGGAAATTTATTGTAAGAATCGGTATTAATTCCAAATAAACTCAAAATGAGTATGCATGGAATATTTCTCTTAAGAAAGAATAAAAGCTTTTACACACATTCTTTGTAAATAGGGAGGGGTGGAGGGGTTGAAGGAAGGACAGGGAACGGGGAAAAATAAGAATCAAGATATGTCATATAAGGGTACAAGTTCACATTGATGAATGTAACTATACAGTATACCAATAAATTTAATGAAAAAAGAATAAAAGATTTTTAAAATTGTTATGACTGGAAAGAGGTTCTGAAGTTTATTTATGAATGTTTTGAGTTTTTTCTTTGTTGCTGTTGCAAAGAAGTAACATTATTCCAGGCATGAAAGGTCTTGTTAAACTTTCCTTCCTTCAAATACACAGGTATGATGTCTTCATTCAAGTTTCACCTTTCTTCACATCCCATAACCAATCTTAGTAACAGATTCTACCATCCTAACTTCTCAGTGTTTTTAACCTAGGCTGTTCTCTGCTACACGGTCCCCACTGTAATAGTCTGTGGCTATGACATGAAATTAGTCACGAAATTTTTATATCCATTTAACATCCTTCATCTTGAGGTTTTTACACTAATGAAAATTTTGTTCCTAAAATTACTTATTTATTTTAGACTATTTGCTAAAAAAAAAAAAACCCTTCAAATATTCATATTACTCTGGCTTCCCACTTTTGAGCTTCAGTAATCTTATTGACCACTGTATTCTATTTCAGCTTTACATGATCCAAAATATTTAGCAGCGTGGCTGGTTCCTAGCAAGTATTCAACAAATGCTAGCTTTTTTTATCCCAAAGCTTATTCAACATTTCTAAGCCCAGGTTTGTCTAGCACCATATCCTTTTGATAATATGTTTTTACTCATAAATAGTTTTATAATCTCTGTAAAGACAAGTTTAAAGGCCACCTTCTTCAGAATCTTCTATTGATTTCTTTTCCCAATATTATTTCTTGTCTGTCATCAGGCATACAAATAAATGTTAATCATCAATCAACTTATAGCGCTGTTTAGTGTTTTGTGTGTTTTTTCTTCAAAATTATTTATACTATCTTGTGTCAAGAAATAACCTCAGTAGTGCTTACTTGAAGCTTGTCAAGTAAAGAGTAAATGTCAAATGAAGTTATTGAAGCAAACTAAATAACATATTAAAATTTGATATTATACTTACTGTTTCTCTATGTATAACTGAACAGTTGTCAATAAATATTCTGAAAATTCTATTTTCTCAGTATATTAAGCATTCTACATATAAATTCCAAATATCTGTGAGAGATTGCTTGCATGGGTCCTAAAAATGAGTTGAAATATTTTATATCATAAAGTTATGATTCAGATTTCACTGGTCCAATGACCATTTCCTTTTATAAGTTTACTTCAGTTAAGTAGATTTAACTGTACTAAGATTCTTGTAGATTCTATGTCCTAATAATAACTTTAGTATTATTCAACTCCTTTTCCTGCTAATACTATCACCACTAAGTTATGAAAAGCTTTAAAAAATCTTCTACATAGTTTTATAAATTTCATTTGAAAGTATGAGATATTCATTGGCATATATTATTTTTTTATTTAAAAATCTTCACAAGATGTCCGTAATTACCTTACTCTTCATGAAATGACTCAAGGGATGTACAGTGTTAATCAACCTGCAAATACTGAATTTGCTGTTGTGTTATTTATGTTATACGAACTTTATCCCACTATCAGGTGTTAGGATAATTCACACAGGTAAGTATGGGATGATTACTATGTGCTGGATACTGTATTCTGAATGTAACCAAAGCAATACATAGGCAAGTCGCAGACTAATGAAAGAGAAAGCCAATCAAATCTCAAAGCGATTTATCAAGTAGAAGTGATGACAAAGAGCACTGAGGAGTGATAAGTCTCACTATTCGTAAATGAAAACATTATGGAGACTAAACATCACAGCTTCATCTCATACCAGAATATAATTTTGACAAATAGAAATAAGAAAAAATGGACTTTAAGAAAAGAAAGAGAAAGGTATGAAATGTCCTCTCTCAAAATAGAAAACAACGTGATGGTTGAGGCCCCAGGAGTTCAGTTCATTAAATAGATAGAAGTAAAAGGCAGCATTGTATATCCAAAATGTACCAATAAAATAGTTTTTTAAAAGGCAGTATTAAGGAAAATAAAATAGGCAACGATGACTGGTATCAAATTGTGAAGATGACATTTTGGCCACGAGAAGGAGGCTGGTTCCTGAAGGTATTGTGGAGACGTGAGACAGGCAGAAGCAAAGGAACAGTATAGTTTTAAGGAGACATTTTGAATTAAAATAAAATCTAGAACTATTGAGAAAGACTGGCTGAAAGAGTAAGAATTGGAGTCAAACACATCAATCAAGACATTAGAAGTCAAGGAGAGAATGGAAAGACTGAAAACAAATGGATAGTGGCAAAAAGAAAGAAAAAGGGATAAATTAAAGAAATATTTTGAAGGCAAAACTAACATGACTTCAACGTGCTGTGCATGAGAGTGGAAAAGGGTTTCCAGACAACTTTCAGTTATTCAGGTTGGGCAGATAAGACCAAGAATGAGAAAAGACAATTACATATGGCAGTTAACTATCATAGTGACCTCTCAGAGCATCAATGGTCACAAAAGTGAATTTGTAGATAAAAATGAAGACTATATTCAATATCTATTGGAAAAATGAAGAAAAAGAAATGAAAAGCTAAAGTAAAATAGTGGTTTACTCATCAGGAATTATCTTACAATGCTCTCCTGACTGCACACAGTGACATGGATAATGTATAAAATGGTACATTTTCATGTTTATGGAATGTTTTTGTATCATTGCCAAATGCAAGTGTCATCAAGTACTTTGACAAATTATGTCTGTTTTTCTAATAAATGAATGGTAAAATAAAAAATTATTTAAGTGAAAAGAAAACGATAAATGAAATAAAATAATATAAACTATGATGACGAGTTTCTATTTCTCATACTTGGCTTATTTCACTCGCAATGGTCAGAAGCAACATAGAACTTTTTACTTTCTGACAGAAGCACAAGCAAATATTCCCAATCGTCTAAACACTTCTGCTTCTGTCCTCATTAGCACATGCAATTAGTAGGAACCGGGCATTGACTAATTTGATTGACATGTGTTTATTTTCTCTCCCACGCTGTGGGATCACAGCATGAGAGTAATGAAAAAAGCTTTAATTTGCAACCGTGGATGGCATAGCTATTTATTATCACCATACTTACCGCTAGACCTGGTGGGCCCTGGGGACCTTCTCCTCCTTTCAGTCCAGGTGCACCCTGGGCAAAGTGAAAAAACAAAGAAAAATAAATAAATGTGAATTGAATATAAATAAGAGATATATGATTATTAAAAAGACAATACTAGGCAATATTTCCAGTCAAAGATATAAATACTTATACATATATTTAATGATAATTAAATGCATATATATGTATATTCTCTTCATTACTCATGATTTTTTATTGCAGGTCTTAGAAATTGCTAATAGGAAATTTCATTCCCTTCCTTTACCTTTAAATTGATTATACCTGAGCTCCAGGAAGTCCTCTTTCTCCTGGAAAGCCACGTAATCCTGCAGGTCCATCTTTCCCTGAGATACCCTGAGGACCTGGGTCACCCTGTAAAACATAATACACATCAGTTATACACATTTTATGAACAAAATTGTTAACTACCTCCAATCTAATACTAGTTAAACTTAATATCATTTGATGATAGGAATATTATGTGGTAAGACATACACATTAAAATGAAATAATAAATCTAGATTTAAATGGACATATAATTAAATGGTTTTATGGTTAGCAAGTTAACTGGTATTATATATTATTATTCAGTAATGTTTTGAAGTACAACAATGTCACACTAAATATTTTTCCTGATTCTAATTTAAATACTGACAAAATATAGAGTATCTGCGGACAAATGACAAGAAATACAATGAAAAGTTAATGAATGTTTTGCGCTAAAAATGTCCTTGAGCGTGTTGTACCTTTGCACCTTCTTTTCCTGCAGCACCAGGAAGACCTTGCTCACCAGGAGGGCCAGGAGGGCCAGGATGCCCACGTTCACCTATTGGACCAGCCTCACCAGTTGATCCCTAAATTATATAAGCAAAATCATATTAGATTGCTTCTTTATTTTGCGCACATTTAATACAAGCTCAAGCATTTCTCATTTTCACAAAAGATGGCAATTGTCATTTATTTTCATGATGTCCTTTCATAAAGCACTAAAGTAGCCTTCTGGCAAAAGTCTGAAAAGATAATGCATAATTTTAATTATAATAGAAAAGGGTACGAGAGAAATGCATAAAGTCTACAAAGATATTTTCTTTGTCTAACAACAGAATTACTTCAGAACGAGGCCAGTCCAATTCCTTAATAAAAAAAAAAACTTTGTTTTATAACTACAGTTTTTCACATTCCTTTTTATGCAAGGTGTCAAATTAGCTTAAGGATGAAGAGTTACTGGTACCAAGGTAGCAGGTACTCAATGAATCACTGCTTGATAATAAGCCTAGGACTTTGGGAACCCTAACAACAGAAGTGGTTCTCCTGGGAGTTTTCAAGAACTGGAAACCTACTGATAATTTATATTCATAAGAGAAGTTGAAAGAATGTGGCAAGGGAATCCTGATGGCAGGGTGTTTGGTCCAGCAGTTCTTGAGGCCTAAGGCTATAACAAATAGCCAGCCACCTTAAATTGCAGCAAATGCCAAAGTGAAAAATGTTAGGTCATTTATGTGTCCCCTGAGTGGTTCTGTTTGTGGGGCTAGAGTATAATAAGCTTTCAAGTATAAATAGAGAATGGTGACCAGTTGCTCCCTATCTCCACTTAGAATAAAAAGCAAAATGAAGGATTTAAGTTAAAAATATATAAAAGAAAAAATTCCAGATGTTATCTATGGTTGTTAAACAGTAGAATGTTTTACTTAAGTCACTTACATAATAGTGTTCTCATTTTCTAAACATGTGACATAACTTTACATTTGGGTCTTGGGTAAAAGAACACATGTGCTCCAAATGTCGGCGATGTCCCTCAAAGTGTCACATGTCCATAGGTGAGGCTTTTAGAAGGTTACTGGATTATAAGGGACAATACTGCAGTTGATTTGCTGCAAGGAGGTAAGGTCTAGGGGGAAGAAGTGAGTCATTAGGGGTGAGGCCTGAAAGTGTTTATCTCCCTTCCTGGATCCTATTTTGGTGTATTACTTCCTGTCTGCCATGGTATGAGCAGCTCTGTGATGTGCTACCCTGCCTTGGAGCCAGCTGACTGTGAATTGTGGGCCAAGATAAACCTTTCCTCTTTATTTGTTTGTCACAGAAAGTGACAAACATGAGATACATATGTTTTATATATCATATGTATATAATTATCACACACATGCTATGTTTCCTTTATAAAAAACAGTTACAATTTTCCTTTAGTTGAGGGATTATTTGAAATAAAATGACCACTCAATCCAAGCATTTCTTTTTGCTCTGTTGCACAGATTTCTGGAAAGATGTAGATTTTTATTTCTCTTTATGTGTGCATGTATTATTGGATGTTCACGTTTGTATGTATAAGTCTCAAAACACTGAGAACTAATTACAGTGCAGAAAAGACTATGTAAGACAATTAAACTCTTGCTCAACAGTTCTTGCTCTTTTACTATATTTTTTTAGTAACTGGAGTAAAAATCCAACAGCTAAAAATGTTCTGTCTACTCAACAGGATTTTGTCAAAGCATAAAAATTTATTTTCTCTTCCCATGAATTATTATCTATAGCTATGTAATCCCATAATTCTAGATATCGTACCAATACTTGAGAATTTCTGCCACCTACCACATACATATCTTTTAAAATATTTCACATATGCTCAAAGAAAACAAATACTTTATCCCCTGTATAAGTAATTGTTATGAAGGCAAAAATATCTTAAGAAAGATAAAATATAATGCTACAGATACTAAATTTAAAAAATATGATATTGAGATATTTATATTTTGTTTTTACTATACTTCTTGACCTACAATATATTTAAAATCTTAAAATAATTTTGGAATTTTAAATTTTGAATAGCCAGTCTATTTAATAAAGAATATTCAATTTTTAAAAAATAGACCTGTGAAAAGTAGGCAGCATAATGGTTGACATTCTGGTCAAATACATGGTGAATCTGATCAACTTTCATTGTTTATTCTTCTTTATTAATACAAGTAATTGAAAATAGCTTTAGTTAAGTAATTGTCGAATTTCATCTGATGTTGTCAATATACAGTTTGAGTCACAACAAAATGAACAGATTTCACAGAAGTTAGAAGGTGAACATTCAAACATAAATATAAATCTTGCTAGAAAAGTAAATAAAAATACCTGTGGCCCAACAACACCTCCTGGCCCAGGGGGCCCAGTCTTGCCTTGAAATCCCTAAGGAAACAAATTAGAATTTGTAAAAGCTATATGGAAGAAAAACGTAAATCTAAATTCTGTGAGATAGTTTAGTAACTCATGTTGATAGTCAATTTTTGGCTACAAATGATTCTGTTATATACCAATTTTTAATTGAAATCTGGCTTTACTTTTTTAAGCTTCTCTTTACTGTTTCACATTATAATGTTATGGTTACTGTCACAAATTTTAAAAATAAGTAATACACTGAAGATGAAGTAAAAATACATTCAACACTATTTCCCCAGATCAAATAACATAGAGGATTTTAATGACCAAAGTTTATGGATGAAATAAATGATAATCTTCCCGTATTCTTTAAAATAGTCCACTGATTCTTTATACAATGAAAAGCTGTTGCATGTGATATTTATTCATTTCTTTCAAGTGCAGTCCAAAAAATCTCATAAAATAATATGTAAAATATTATAAAGAAAATATGATAAACTATAGCACTCATTTTAGTTTTTATCAATTGTTCTTTCTTAAAACCTAAATGAGTACAGTTTAAAATGCACCTTTCAGGGATGGGGATTTAGCTTAGTGGTTCTGCTACCTGCCTCGCAAGCACAAGGTCCCAAGTTGGGTAACCAGTACCAAAAATGTTTTTAAAAAATTAAAAAATAAATAAAATACACCTTTCAGTTATTAAAATATATTCTGGTTGATGTGAGCAGAGTATGTTCACTAAATGAAGCTTTTGGAGTATATTTAGTATCTAGAGTTTTCTAGGCTTCTTATGGACTATTCATTCTGTATAACTGTATTAGAACAGAAAAATTATTTTCATTTGAGTTAAATTACATCTAACAATTAGAGAAGTGGATAAAAAATACGGAGAGAGGAAACTTTCAAAGAACTGAAATAAAACCAGTGTTTGCAAAACAATTTCATTCACTACAACATATAGTCAGACTAGAAATAATACAGTGAGCAGTAAAGAATAGAAACTATTAGCCCCCAACCTTTCAGATGATTACAGTTGAATTAATTAAAGCAACAAAATTTTATAAGCAGATAAAAGGAAAAGAATATGTGTTTGTAAGTATTGCAATTTATGTTACAGGGAAAAATTATTTCTTGTATTTCTAAAATTGACTAATTCTTAAGATCATCCTGATTCTACATAAGCTTATGTTATCAATAGCAAAATGAATTAAATCTGAGAGAAATTATACTAGAATTTATCTAACATTTTAAAATCAAGATTGCTATTTGCTTATTTTATCTTTTCAGGAACTCGCAGGGTGCCAATTATATTTACAAACTGCACATAGTACACAAATATGTACGTGTGTCTAATATATGTTATGAGTAAATATACACAGATATTCCACTTTCTGGATTATGCCAACAACCTCCACGACCCATTTTGCTTCTACGTTCATAAAGTATTCCACCAATTACAAATGATTTCTAAATCTCTGTGTTGAGCCCTAAAACTCAGCACATTTCCAGTTCTATAAGATACTCTCTCTTCGATAGTCTCGATATGGACTTTTAAAAATATGTCTAGCTTTTCATGTTCCTCTTATGTTCTTTCCCTTTACTAACAAAATAACTTCGTATCCTAGGCTTAGTTTGGATCTCCCATTCAGCATTGATCCCAAAGTCAGCTGAGAGACTCTTTCGAAATACAGCTTCTGCCCTCTTTCCCAGTACAATTGTATGATACAAAATATCATCTCTTCGATGATCAAGCTTTTCAAATCAGGTTTACTTAGTCGTCCACATTAGAGAGGATTATCATCTTACATAAGCAAATCTAATCAATTCATTGCTGCCAAGATAAAGTGCCAAACAATATCGCTGAGAAAGTTCATAGCACTCTCAGCCCAGTCTGCTACCTCCACCACAAACTCTGTTTTGGAAATGAATTTCAGATTACAGTCATATTCACCTTTGCACCTTTCTCTGCTACCACACATCTCATGTTGTGCAATTTGTTTCCTCTAATGAGGTTACCCTTCAAGTTTGATTTGAAGGGATAAATGCAACTTTGAATTTAAAACAAAATAAAATAAATCAACCTTATAAAGCATTTTTGCCTTAGTCACTTTGAGAGCAAGACTATCTCACAGAAATGATTATAGTAATAATTTATTGAAATAAATTCATTAAAAATCAATACTTCATTGGGCAAAGTCTACAGACAATTTACAACTAACACTTGCATCCTAAAAGGAAAGAGAAAAACTTAGCTGCTAGCCCACTTGTACAGCTGATAGATTTGAAAGAGCTCTGTTTTATGTCTACTCATTCAAGAAACTCAGAGTTTACAAGTATCTAATACATTTGATGCTGGGGATCTGACAAATACACTATGCACAGTAAAATTTTTATAGTTCAAAATGCAGTTTGTTTGATATTATCTGTAGTAATGCTACATTTATAATTTAATTTTAGAATAGCTTAACTTAATATAATGTTGTTCAAACGCCCTGAAAACAGAAATTAATTTAATGGCTTTATATGGTAGTTTGGAAAATCTGCTGCTAAACTTAATAAAAATAGTATTCTTATTCTAATAATACCTAAAAGACTAAATTAATTTTAATATCAATACTGGACTTGGCCTCATGTCTCAGAGAGGTTTGGGTTGTTTCAGAGTAACAGAAACTATTTCAAATATTTTCTGCATGACTTTAAAAACTTCAATGTTGAAGAACAAATCGAGAAATTATGAAGGATCTGAAGGGGGATGATCTCAAATATAAAAATCACATAAATGTAAAAATAAAATATATAAAATATAAATGTCAAGTATAAAAAATTGTTCTTTGAAATTAGATAATACATATGTACCAAATGTTAGCCAGTTTTAGATTCTAGCTCTTGTATAAGGAAAACTTTACAATTCCATTCAGCATTGATAAATTGAAAGAGAAGAGGTCTTGGCTATACGGTGATTCACTTAACAATGGATGTGGCACCAGGAATAAAAGTTTTGAGAAATAATTCTGGCCTTTTCTATGATAAAATAATAGATAGAAGCATTCTTCCTAGAAGCATTAGCTAATATGCTATTTTTCTTCTTTGTTTAAATTTAAATGTTATATATGATATGGAAACTTTGAATAGAAACAGAAACTAAAGATTAAATTGAAAACAGAAGAATTCTTTATGTCATAATTCTTTAGGTACCTCCTCTTCAAAAGATTTTATGGAAATAGTTCAGAGTTATTCCCAGAAATATATATGATTGTAAAAAATGAATATCTACAAAATTGTTTTAAAAATCTACATTTGAAAATTTGAGTGTGGATCCTTTTTTAGAGACTTCATTTTTTCTCCTTTTGTGGATATCATTCCCAAAAGGAAACAACAACAATTTTATTCTTTGGTCACATTAATTCATTTTTGATTTTTCACTTGAAGGCCAAGACACTGAAGCGTACAGCCTGGCTAACATTAAGTTTTTACTAAGAATTGTCCCACGTTGACTGGGTTGCTATTAACAGTTTGCTCTTCCCATAGCAGAAAATTAATAATATTTGAAGATTTGTTATCACATACATGTTTAATTTGGAATTATGTTGTCAGGCTGGCAGAATGCCCTAAAGTGATTTTTGTACCACTGTACTGTGGCTTCCTCAAAAATTCTGAAAATTTAACCAATAGTGTGGACCTGGAATCAGAACATGTTCACCTAGGAGTATTTCTGATTAGAAAAGCAGTCCACCAGGACAGCATATTTAAAGTGTAGCTAAATAAACAAACAAAGTCATTAGGATCCTTAAACTATGCTGGAACTACCAATTTTTCTGCTGCCTTAATTATCCTACATATGGTGTTATTATATCAATTTGTTTAATGTTATATTCCTTAAAGTTTCAAAATTCAATTAAATTATATTTTTCAACCTACATATTCCACTTGACATTACAGGATGCATTTGAGATACTTCCAGACCGAATATACCTTTTTGGATTCAAAATCAGCAAATATCATCCTTCAGTTCTGGACAGAAGAATATTGTATTATGTGTGTGCCTTACAGGAGAGTGGCTGCATTTGATGGGGTAGGTATGATAGTCCCTGATAGGATGGACTTAGACTTCAAGGAAAGGGTTAAGGTGACAATCTTAAGAAGGAATTAAAAAACTAAACAGGCAAAGGAAGTTTTTAGAATGGAGAAGAATTATTCCTCCTATACAAGTGAACCCTAGTAAAATTAACACGAGTTGTCAGCAATAAGTAAGGCTATTGTAGAATGACATGTGCAAAGTATTGTAAGAAAAAAATTGTCAACCACAAAACTTGTATCCATAAAAACTATGTTTGAAAACAAAGGTAAAATAAAAATATCCTTAAATAAATAAAATTGAGAGAATTTTAAATTCTGTTTCCTAAAATAAACTTTTTGTATTGCAACATGGTACATATGGTGTGCATATAGAGAAGTACACAAAGTATTAAGTATAAAGCTTGATGGATTCTTATAACAAAACATATATAACTACCACTCAAATCTCCTGGTACCACCTCTTTTTCTTTTTTTTTTGGTTTTGAATTTTTTTTCAGCTTTAATTGAGTTTATTGGTACATTTTAGGGACACAGTCCAGTTACATGCATTGTTGGGATCTTGTACCTCTACATGACAGGTCTTGATTCTCATTTTTTCCCCTTGTTCCTGCCCTCCCTTCACTCCCTCCTCCACTCCCCATCTTAATCACTGTATCTTCCTTCTTCCAAAAGTCATAACTGTCCCTATTTCTTACACCATGAGTTATATCTGTACTTGTTTTAAACTTCGTATCAATGAAATTGTTGCTTTATCGTTTGTTTCAATAAATATACATCAATTTTTAAAAAAAATAAAAAACAAGCAGGGCTTTTTCCCTCAGATCGTTATTTTTTCCAGCTCATTCTTAAAGTTTTGGTATTGCTAATGAGAACAATTTCAACCAACTTCCTATATTTTCAGATACAAATTGGATCTATTTGTTTATGTGCTTATAGGTTTTAATAAAAGGTTCAATGGAATTCTTCCTCCATTTTTCTCAGACTGGTATCTTAATTACTAACCCTGAAGTAACCTTCCATGGACTGATGAAGTACTAAAGATAGAAAATTTCCACCAAAAAAAGAGTTACTTACAGTCTCCCCTCGTTGCCCAGGGTGTCCTGGTAGCCCATCCTTTCCTGGTGGACCCTGAAATCATAAATAAAAAATAACTTATGTCATAAAATTGCTTGAATTATTTTATAATAGAAATATTTTAGATTATTTCTTGTATTTCATTGCATTTTAATGTTCAGATGTTTTCTATACGGTAGTATGCACTTATATCCATTTAAATTTGAGTTCTGTTTTAAAAATCATGTACTAAATAAATTTATTTCAGTTGCACTTATCTTTTAAAAGTATATGTGTGTGTGTTTCTATTTTTCCAAAAAACGTTAGTTCTTCAGTACTTGACAAATGAATACTTCCCCTTTCTTATCCTTTGTTCAGAACTCTGTGCATTGAAACATATAACAGAGAAAAATGGCATCCTCTAGTGGCGATTCAGACATGTAACAAGCATGAAAAAGAAATACCACTTACAGAAAACTATTTCTCAGTTTGCTTCATGCTATAAATTTTAATCACTTCAAGTTAGAATTTTTTAAGGGAGATGACTACATACTGTTCTGTAGAATAATAATCATGAGATTGACGGAATCTAATTGGAGCATTCTAAGTATTCAATCCATATATGTCTATCTGTGTATACATTTTTTTCAGGTACAAAGGTAGATCAATTTGTAGGACATCAGTTCTATTCCTCCACCTAAATTTCTTCTCAAACTTTATAAAACTGCGTATTAGTGCAGTGTTTTAACAGCAAAAGTAATGTTTCTTATCAGTGCCATGTCTTTCCTATTAGACTGCATGCTTTTTAAGTATAGATATTTACTGGATTTTTGATAGCTCTTGGTGACAAAATGAGTGCAAGATCAATGGCTCACATCAAATTGAAAGATGCATGAGCAACAGACTGAAAAAGTCTGGGGAAAATTTGTCAATGGCTTTCTTTAACAATAAAAATATATTAGACTGGGGAAACAATTCAGAACAATATATACAAATATAGATGATAATGTTGAGGTCATATATCTTAATGGAATTTTAGGGATAACCATAATCTATGCATGTGCTTTTAAAATGCATAAATGCTTATCAGAAAATATACACGCGATCATTCTAGGAACTTTGTTCTTAGTTCTTTATGGAACAGCACAGACTTAACAGGACATTTGGACAAAAACTTGGTGAAAAAATCATAAGCCATTAGTATCAGTATTACCTTTAAAAACAAGTTATTAGTGCTGCTCCTCCTCTATAATAGAGGTAACAATATTTTCTTGATATATTTGAAGTAATAAAACAGAATGGCTCAGTGTTAAAGAGTGTCAAAATTTATTGCAAAATAGTGGAGATTACTTAATCATTCAATATTTAATACACATTGGTACTTCCAAATAAATAATTCACTACTGATTTGTACATTTATTAAAGTTTGGGCCTAGTGTCTAGTCCAGACATGAGGAATCATTCACAAACTTCAGCATGAATCAGATCTATCTGGAGCATCTGTGAAAACACAAACTGGGTCCCTCTACAGAGTTTTGATTGGGAAATGAGACTTTAGGTGCCTCTGACACTGCTGGGCCTCAGAAGGCATTGTGAGAATCTCTGTACTACACAGGTGGGTAAGTTGATTCTAGTGTAAAAAACTAAAGAGCCCCCCACCACCAAAGGCAAAGAAAACAACTAAGTTTGCTCCGTGTCAAAGAATATATAAGTATGAAAATAAAGTTCAATTAACTTTATAAAGATATTTGTAATGATATTTTTAAAAATACTGATCTGCTGAATGTGAGCCTATAATCCCAGTAATCAGGAGAATGAGGCAGGAAGATCAACACAAGTTTAAGGCCAACCTGGGCTACATAGCGAGTTCAATGCCAGCCTGAACTACCTAGAAAGAACCTGTCTCAAGAATTAAAAGAGACAGCAAGATAGTGAGAGAGAAAATTAATTTAAACAAATTTTATAAAAAGAATATTATTGGGCAAGCATTACCTTTGCATTTCCTAAGCAAAATGCATTAGAGATACAAGACATTTTGAATTAATAAATCTTAATGTTACATAAGTAGTAGCAGAATTTTGGAAGGTGTTTAGGAAATTATAATTAAATAGGAATGAAAGATTGTCTTTGGGGATGGAAAATAAAAGGGAAATTCCAACTCACCAAATATTTAATATGTGGTAACAATTTTAATGTCATCAACAATAAGCATTTTATAATAGAATAGTTGAAAAATAGTATTCATATTGTTCAAATCTTTGATGTACTTTAAAAGAACACTTAATAAGGGAAGCTTGAGATATTCAAAACAATTTGTAAACATAAATTGAAAATTTATTCTTGATCTTTAATTATATTTTACTTTATAGAGATTTTATCAATATTGCATATAAAACTTATTTAAAATGGAAACCATGACTCTCGGAAATAGAAAAATATTGTTGAATGGAGACAGAGATAGAGAGAAAGGGTGAGAAGCAAGGAGGAAGGGAGGAAGGGAGAGAGGAGAAACTGTGACACTTACATATAAAACTTATTTAGACTATGAACCATGACTCTCAGAAAAATGGAAATACTGTTAAATGGAAACAGACAGAAAGAGAGAGAGGGTGGGAGGGAAAGAGGAAGGGAGGAAGGGAGAGAGGAGAAACTGACACTTACAGGAGGGCCCTTTGGTCCAGGGAATCCAACTGGACCCTGAGGTCCTTGTGGGCCCTAGAAAAAAAGGGGAGAAAATTAACGATATGTCCTAAAAGACACAGTGTTATATTCTGTAATTTATTTCTATAGATCAAATACAATATAGCATATAACTTCTTAACCATAGTGGCAGTTATAGAATGAAAAATGAGTATTGTGAAAATCAGAGCAAAATAGATTTTTCACTATTTAAAATTGCACCTCACACCATTACTTATTACAGAATGACTGTAAATATTTAGGTATCATAAAAAAGTAAAGAGAATAGGTATAAATTGAGAAATACTACAGAATTTTTTTTTACTTTTAATATTGGTTGGAAATATTTGTAAATATACCTTAAGAAAACTAAAAATCATTTTACATACAAAAATTTAAGATACTATTTTATTTCATTGCAAATTCTACTTTCCTAATTTCCAAAAACATCTTTTCTTAATAAAATGTAGCTACTTTTAATAATATATATTTTTAAATTTAAATGTCTTTAGGAAAGAAACATTTTCAAAATCACTGCATCAGAGTAAATGAAGAAAACAAGGGTTTCTTGCTTTCTGAAATTTCAAGAAAATTATTCACATATTCTCTTTGTATTAAAATATACTAGCTCCCTTATCTACAGTTTCACTTTCTGCAAAGTCAGTTACTCATGATCTGGAATTATTAAATAGGAAATTCCAGAAATAAACCATTTATAATTTTCAAAGTGTGAACTGTTTTAAGTAGCACGACAAAATATCACATGTGCTATGGTTCATCACTTTATATAAGTACTGATTGCATCACTGGAGCTCCCATCACTTTGTGTAGTGTATCCACGGTGTATACATTACCCACTAATTAGTCATTCAGTAACCGTCTCAGTTATGGATGCCCTGTCCCATCATGTACCCCAATGGTTGTGTTCAAGTATCCATTAGCACTACATTTATTCTGTAAGCCAATTGTGTTATAGTATGATAAATTCTATTTTGTTATTAGTTATTCGTATGACTATTTGTATTTATATTTTATTGTACTTGATAAATTAAATTTAACCACGGGTATTTTGTACGTATAGGGAAAAATGTAGATTATATAAGGTTCACTAATGTTTGCAGTTTCAAGCACCCATGGCTTGGAATGCAAACCGGACAGATAAAGGGGAACTAATAGAATTTTTGGGTGTGGTAAAGAAATATTTAAAGCTGCAGTGTAAATATTGTATTGGAAGCCAACTAGGGTCACCAGATAATATATCCAGTGTCTAGCCAATGTTGAATTTCAGGTGCATAATAAATAGTTTTTAAAATGCATTAATTACTACACATGACACACTTATGCCAAAGTTACTCAATGCTTATTTTGTAAAATTGAAATTTAATTAGATGTTTTGGGTCTTTGTTTTTTATTACTTGTTTTGATAAGTCTGGCAATTTTAAAACCAAGCTATATTAAATAACTTTAATGGCAAGTACATATTATCTTCAAATCTTTTTTATGAAGGGTAACATTTAACTTGCAGAATTTTAAAATGAAATACATATATTCATATATAATTAAATATTAAATTTATTAAAAGTCCTTTAAAGCAAACAAAAATAAGAATTGTAATTTCTAATTCAACAGCATCACAAAATTCTTTCCCTAAACCTACAAATTCATACATTTTGAAAAAAATGTGATGTAGTATTACTTGAAACACTCTTCAAATTGTATGATTAAGTAATAAAGTAAAAGAGTCAAAATACTTAAAACTTCTTTCATGTAAATAAGGGCATATCAGGAGAAAGATAACATCTACTAGATAGAATACAGAGTATTTTTTTTCTATAGAGATGTTCAAAATCTATAAATATGTATTGAAAATGAATCTTTCTAAATTAACAACAAAATATAAATTTTATTTTGATTCTCAAGATATACTTTTCTCACTCTCCAACAATGTTTTTCTCATTGAGTTTATTGTTACATTTTAGGTAAGCAATACAGTTACATTCATCATTGGGATCTTGTACCTTTACATGACAGGTCTAGGTTCTCATTTTTTCCCCTTGTCCCTGCCTTCCCTTCACCTCCTCCTCCCTTCCCTATTTACAAATACTTTATTTCCATTGTTTCATTTTCTCATTTTTTTTCTTTTCCCTTATTTCCTTTCGCCTACCCTTCCCACTTCCCCTACACCTTTAGCCCTTTCACACTGCTGGTTCACATTATTGTTTCCAAATTGAAATGTAGTATCACTAAAAGGGAATTTACTTTGAAATGATACAACTGATCATGGAATTTGGGTAAATAAATCATAAACAAATCACATAAGAAAGGAATGGTTTGTGCTTTAAAAAAACTCAGTTGTGCTGTACTATTTTATATTGGACTCTACTTCATGATTCAACTATTTTAATTAAACTGTATATTCTTATTAAAATATTTTTACCTACAAAGCAAATCAAATATGTAGTATTTATGAATTCAAAATGTACATGATGAATAGACATAATATGGACAAAGAATGATAATAAATCTGAAAGTTTCCCTTACCCCTCCCTCTTTCCCTTCCCCTTTGGATCTTTTCTTCCTTTTTCACATTATCTATTATACGTAAGGGAAAGGAATAAACACGAGAAAAGAATTAAGCAGAAACAAAGACATTTTGTTTAGGGAGCAGTGGAGGGTTCAAAGGAAGGGCAGAGGAATAGGGAAACAAAGAAGAACCAAGACACGTCATGTAAAGGTACAAATTCCAATGACAAATGTCATCATACTGTGTACCTAAAATGTACCAATAAACCTAATGCACAAAAAGTCAAAAAAGACAAAAACAACCACACACAAACATAAAATAAATCTGAAATTTTATTTTAATATGAGCAAAAATCATAGAGTAACTCCAGGTAAATGTTTATTATTTTGTTTTATCTATTTGTTTTTGTCACAAATAGAATTAAGTTTTACTCATTGCTTCTTACTCGATAAGTATCTCTCCAAGTCTTGAAAATATATATTACAAGATTTTTTTTCTTTTTCATAAAACAACTACTGTTTCAAATAATGATATTCCAAAATGCATTGTGACTACGTAATATTGAAATGTGTTATAGAATAATAAGAAATGATTCTAATTTCTTTCAATACAATACAGACAGCTTTATTTAAAATTCTTGCAAGAGAATAACATTCAAAAATATGGCTTTTATAAAAATGTTACATTATACCGAAAAAGTCAAACAAAGGGCATATTTGCTCATCTGTAATTCACTTTATTTTGTATCAATTGAAAATCAATTTACTAAATAGTTATTATATTTACTGGAATAAATATTTTATCTTGAGTTGAAATGTATATCGATTGTGGCTTAATGGCCACTGGCATCTTGCATTTTACCAGCATAATATTGCCGCTTGCTCCATAAATTGAGTATTTATAGAAAAAAAACAAGACAAGTGGATGACAGCGCATAGGTATTTTAAGCAAACTTGGAATAAAAAAAAATACTGTGGCCTAAATTAAATGCAATATCTTAGGAAAATTAATTACACACATTATTTCTCTCATTTCCATAACAAATTAGTTGCATATAACCAATCAAGCTTTTGATTGATATGAGGAGTAAATTGAAGAAAAATAATTTTTTAAACTGTGAACGAACGTGTACATGTATCTTTTGCCAGAAATTTAAACCTGAAGAAATATTACTTTTCATTTTATATTTATGAGGCTGTATCACACTTACTCTTTCACCTGGAGGGCCAGGAGGACCATCACCACCTGAAGTTCCCTAGTAAATAAAACAAAAAGAAAGAAAGAAAGAAAGAAAGAAAGAATCAGTTCGATTCTTTCTGACTGCATCCATCCTTCAGAAGTGGAATTTGCTGCAAAAATCAAAAGGAACAAATTCGCACAATACCTTTGGCCCTGGTTTCCCCGTGGGACCTCTGGCTCCTCTGGAACCTCGAGGACCCTGCATGAGGAGCAAAAGACAAAATAATCCAATGCTAAGCAAATACAAAGGCACAAAAACGTTACTCTAAAAGTAAACATGAAATGAAAATCACTAGATTCAATAAAGGCGCTCACCGTTGGTCCACGCTGACCTCGAGGGCCTGGTTTGCCAGCGACTCCCTGAGAAAGAGTTGAAACAATTTCAGTATTGCAGTGTACCACAGCAAATTATGAGTCAGGTGCTCATTCAGGGACATTTCCATCAAACAGTTCCGGACCTACATACCCGTGCACCTTTCTCCCCATTGGCACCTGGGAACCCAGGAAATCCAGTGGAACCCTGAAATTATAAAAATATGGACCAGTGAAAATGGTAATTAAAATTTGCAGGGCATAAGTTGTGATTTTTTTTTCCTTAAAAACAGTGATTCTTAAATAGCTGATAATTTTGAAGTCAGAAAATATAATTATAAATTACATAATTAATTTTAAGACACCATGTGACCTCCATTTATGTATTTGAAAATAAACTTACAATGGCATCTGAAATCCTGGAAGCAGGAAAACATGAATTGATAAAACAGATTTCAGTATTTATCATTAAACGTAAAACAATTAACAAAATATCATCTTTTTCATTTTAAATTAACATTACAGGAAATTTCATGTAAAATATATCTTTAACTCAATCACCACGCCTGATTCAATACAAAAGAAAAATCACATTTTCATTTGCATGAATAGTCAAACAAAACCAGGGACATTAAAAACTTTTTTAATGAAATTTTTTATACATATTATTTTTAGTTGAATATTTTAAACTGTTAGAACTGAACTAAATCATAAAGATGGAAATATCTCCCTCTACATTTTTATTTAGTGTTTGAATGTGATTACACTTGGATGATAGTCCGAGTCAGAACTTCAATACTAAAATCTTGCATTTGGAATTCTGAAGATCTAAATTCAAAACTTATGTCTTTCACATATCAACAAACTAAGCTGTGTATATTTTTTATCCCTTTAAGAATTTTTTTTGTTCTACAAAATGAGGGTAATAACTACATCTTATGATTATTTTGGAATTTGTGGGAGACTGGAATAGACAGTGTTAAGTAGAAACACAGTAATGATAGGTAAATAATGATCATTTTCAAAAGTAGTACTAAATAAATTGTAATTTATAATTATTTATGATTTAAAATTTAACAATTATAAATTATAATTACTTCATTTAGTCTAAAAATGGCTACACTTCATAACGGAATGCAGTAAAATACATTAACAAAATTCCACAACTTCCTTTTGCGCATACGACCAAGTTTTAATCACACCAGATTGTCCTTTGATCATGACTGAGACTGGCTTGCTTTTTTATAAAATCAATAAACAGAGTACATTAAGGTTTAAATCTCATTCCTTCCTTGCTAACTGTATGTGCCTGAAGATGTTGGAGAGTTTCCAAATGCTCAATTTTCCTATTCAGAACATTGTATGGATTAAATGCAATAATGTGCAAAGTCTCTAACAGAGAATAACAGACATTCAAATTTTTAGACACTCCCTCATATAATACGGGGGAAAAGCAGTCTCCTTCGACTTCAGTACCTTCCATGCTTTTGAATCAACTCATTTATACTGAACTACCCTGAAGATACTGTGGCAAGTGGCTCCCCCCATATCCAAAAAATTTTAAGTGTTGCTAAAAATACATTATCAAGTCACACTCCAGACCTACTGAAACTGAAAGATCCTAATGGGGAAGAGTCTAGGAATATGCTATTTAGGTGATATGCACTCAGATGTTTGAGAATTCCTGGAAATTGATTCTTGGACACATACAGGAAAAAACAAGGTATTATCAACATGTGAGAGATAACTAGCTCTATCCTAATTTCAAAGTAGTGAATATTATATACTTAGCTTATAATAATGCTTAGTAGACAAACATTGATACAGTTACACTGCATGAATAGTCTAAAAAATTAACATGTGAGTATAATACAATGAAAATAATTTATATTAATCAAATTTTTTGCCAACAAATATTTAGTTGTGTACCTATTATAATTCATGAATGATACTTATGTAGTCAATTAAGAACATTGCTCTTATGCCTAAATTTGTAATACTCATTATTTTATAACATTTTGCTGCAGGAAACTGTGTGTAAAACAATACAAAAAGGTTAATGCACCAATTAAGCAGTTTATAATACATGGGAATCAATTTTTCCCTTTTTTCATTTAAAAATTATCACAAAAAAAATACACAAGTTCTATAAAAAGATAGTACCTACCTATCTGCTTTTGAATGGAGAAAACAAAATATACAAGATGACAGTCAAAAGATAATAGTGATATTATCTCAGTCAATAAATGTAAAATTTTCAAAATTACTTTGAATGCTGTTTGATTTATAAAAGCACATTAATTTAAAATAAATATAATTTGAAGCAGCTATTATTGTAGAGTACATTTTGTGGTACATTTGAACACCTATTAAAGTTTATATTGCTTCTAAAACATTGAATAAATTAAAGCGTCTGATTACAGCCCTTACACTACTTCAAAGAGATAAAAAACCAAATTTCACTTTTAGTATAATCAAGACAGATTGTTTAAAATTCATTGTCTTCAATGTAGGAAAAAATGTGATTTTATCTTTGATCTTCAATGTGCCCTACATTTTTGCTTTAGAAATGAGAAACCTAAAAGCTTTTGATCATAAAAAGCTTAGTTATGGAAAAAAGCAATATAGAAGATAATGACTAGAATTGCAGACATTCAGGTTAAAGGGTAAGTTTGACTACTCTAGGAAGAAATACATCCCTTTAGTCATTCTGTTACATTTTGCTAATAAAAGTAATTCAATTAATATTGAGTAGAGAATTTACTTGGACCAAAAAAGTTCAGAACTTCAAATGAGCTTGTGAAAGAAAATTCTACTTATTCAAGTAATATTATAACTGTTTTCTATATATTTAAATCAAAACAAAAGAACATTACAATTACAATTCCCCTGGGGAAATAGAAGAATTCAAGAATTAGTCTAAGTATAGTTTAAGGTCATAGGTTATTAAGTGAATGGCTTCTTTAACTCATAATATTTGTGAAAACTCTTTACATTTGAATGAATAGCAACTGATGACAGAGCAATCAATGTATGAAAGATAATATTTAAAAACTAACATCTATCAATCACTACTTTCTATGTAAAGACATTCATCAATGTTTGCAATATTTTAAAAACACAGATGGCATTAATCTTATTTTAGAAGGGATAAAATTATAATATTTGTAGCCTACTGAACATAAAAATAATTTTCTAGAATCTCAAAAAAGGACAAAATAACAGAAAAACATAAAATACTGTTATTGGAGGATGATGATTTGACACAGTACATGCAGATCACATTTGTTCAGGGTAAGGACATTGTGTCATTGGTTGTTGTGAAAGGTATTAATAAATGCATATATGAGGATACACAAAATCGGGCTATACTCCATGATCCAGCAGGTAAGATTAGGATAGGGAGACAGAGTGATTTAGATAGAGAGTCTTGTGTACCTGTAATTAGAACTTGAAAGTATGCTGTAGTTGACATGCTATAAAAATGAGCATACTTGCATGAATATAATAGTAGTATTCAACATTTACATATTAATTCATGTAGCCACCTTAATGCAAATAGTAAATGTATCAAGTGCAGCCTTAGCAAAATTTTACTATTAGCTAGAGAAAAACAATGGTACACCAGGGTAACCGTGCAATTTTAAATAAATCTTTTTCTAAAATTAAACTATGTAAATTTAAAATATTCAAAAATCATCCAGGCACGGTGGCATATATCTGTAATCCCAGCACTTGCAAGGCTGAGGCAGGAAGTTTGTCAGCGGTTCTGGGCCATCCTAGGCTATGTAGTTAGCTAAAGACTAGAATGAACTACACAGTGACACTCTGTCTCTAAATAAATAAATAAATACAACCGAAACAAAAAATTTTAGTGGTATACTAGGCCAAACCATGGTTCACCAAAAACGAAAGATTTGCCATGTCTAAACCTCTACAACCTGAGATTACTACTTTCTTTGGTAATAAAAATAAAAAGGTCTTCCATTAATATAACTAAATTAAAAATCTTGAAAGATTTTCCTGGATTATTCAGGTTGTTTCCTACATCCATGACAAACGTCTTTATAAAAGACAGAAGAGAAGAGAAGCCAAACAAGAATGAAAAAGGTCATATAAAGATGGAGCGAAGTTTGGAGTTACATATACTCAAGCCAACAACATCTGAAGCCACCAGAAACTGGAAGGGGCAAGGACAATTCATTTCCCTGAGTTACTGAAGGGAATAAGACCTTAATGATGCCTTGACTTTAGATTTCTGTCCAACAGAACTATGAGAAAGTAAATTTCCATGGTTTTAAGCCAATTTTGCGTTGATTTTTATGTCAGTCTTAGGAAACAAATACTGGCAGAATGAGGGTTACTAGAGTTGGTGAAATTGTAGTATATTCTTTCCAAAAAATCTAGAACTAATTAAAACCCTGAGGGAGATTTAAATGGAATCAAAAACTATTATTCATCCTAAGTGATCATCATCTATTTTGTAACATTAATATATTTTAACAGTCTTCCTTGGAAAATCCTCATTCCAATTACAAGTCTGTTGCTAATTTTTCCCTCCTTTCACGGCCTTTCTCCTAAAATGCTCCAATCCATATCAATTACACTCTCTAAGCTCCGTGGACTCCAGATACCTACACACTCTACAATTTTCCAGTGTGAAATTATATTTCAAGTTTTCAAATTCTCTGTGATACAAAATGTAAGCTTATCATAAAACTTAGAAAAAAATTGAGAAAAATGTTAAGTGTTTTTAAAACATACCGGTAAGCTATAAAAATTAAGGTAATTATATTTTACCTTTGGACCTTGTCTTCCTGGATATCCTGGTAATCCTGGAACGCCAAGTTTCCCCTAAAATTTAAAGAAATTGATAAAAAAAATTGTCTAAGCATAATAATAAGAGGCTTACAGTTATTGTGAAAAGTTAGCCCTCAAAATTTTCTTACTGAACAAAACATTAATAAAAAAATATAAGTAGAGAGATAAATAATTGAAATGAATAAAGTTTGGACCTTTCTGTGCTTTATTTTCAGTAATAAGTTACTAATAAAATAATACATAGTATAAAATATTATTCATTAAAGCCTTAAATATTAGTTAGCATAAAATATGTCAAATGTGAATTTTAATCAGTAAAAATGGGAAAAAAGTCAGAATTAGTACAGGAAGTGTTAAAAGATGAACAGAATTTACGAATAATAAGAGAAATATTAATAAACCAAGACAAAGAATTAAGAATAGTTTATGAGACTTTTACTACGGACTGAACTGAATAGCTGCCACAGTTATGATTAATACTGCATAGACAGGCAGTCTTCAGAAGGAAAATATGCAAACAGGCCTTATGAAGTACACTTATAATGATGTTGCCTTGGATATGTTATCATACATTGTTATATGCCATTGACTGTGAGGTTTATGAAATTCTCTAACTATGATCATGAAACTCTATTCTTTGCTAATTGCTGCAATAGAACAAATATGCTTATGCATTTTAGAATCATTTTTAGATAAATCTGGAGAGAAAAATGCATTTGTGTTTTCTTTATGATATATCATTTCAGTAAATGGATATATACTAAAGAAATACTGAACCTGGAGAATCGTGAGATATTTCAAATTCTAGATGCCTCAGAATAGTTTGTAGTTTATGTATACATAAAAGTGGAGTTACAAAGAGAAGGTCCCAGGAAAGCCCAAAATTATCAGCAACTGCGTACTTCAAATGGATGTATTTGTTGTAAGTTGTTGTTTACCACTGTCTTCTTCCAATAACTAAATTCTACATTGTTTATTAATCCAAAAATGACAACTTCTCAAACAGTAGAGAGGTATAACTGTTCCATAAGATAATTCCTAAAGACATAAGGAAATATTTTCTATTTGAGCAATCGCAATCTCTACATTGTAACTATGTAATACATTTTCCTTCTGGGATAAGGTATTGTGGAGGAGGGAGATTACAGTCTTTTTAAATAGCACGGAGTTTATTTTATAGATTAAGAGCATGTTCACATGGAGTATGGCTATGTATGTCCATGTCTATCTCCATATATGAAATCAATTAAAATGATATCATCAGGATATATTACTTATATTTGTTTTAGTGTACATAATGGGGTAATACTGTAGATAGTTCTTGTGCTTTTCTATTTAAATTAACTTCATAATATATTATAAAATTAAGCATATCACTAAATACTGTGAAATAATAACTTTAATACTGTCTATTACACCACAATTTAAATGTAATGTTTGTAAATATTTTGGACACAATGCATATAGCCCAATATCTTTCAAAACAATGACTACTAGAATTATGTGGGAATATTTCAAAATATAGTGATGATTGTGTCAACATCAGATTAAAATGTAAAGCTCTTGAAGGTGGGCCTGAACTTCTATATTTTTAAAATACTTATTCTGTGAAAATTTGCTTATGTAAAAACAAGAAAATGTATATTTTGTTTTGAGACAAAGATGAATCTACTAGGTCCCCATAAATAGGGCCACATTACTCATGGATCCTCTCATCTTTCAATCACTCAAATTTTCAACATCTACTGCTGCAGGTCTTTAAGACTGGCCAATCCCATCTGACTGAGAAGCGATGAAGGGTCTAAGAGGGAAAATGATAATATTCATGATGATACTCTCAATCATATAGGATATGCTTAAAATTTAGTAGAATCTTCTAGTGTTCTAAAAATGATGTAAAACATTTAACAATAACAGTGAAGCATCATCCATCACAGGACCTGTGAACTTGGTTACCAACCTTCTCTCCTGCTTGGCCAGGAGGTCCTGCATCTCCAGTTGGACCTGCACGACCTTTGGGTCCCTCAGGACCATCTTCTCCTCTTGGGCCTATTTGACCAATTTCTCCCTGATACACAAAGAAATCATATTCCTAAGTGATTTCTAAGTTACATGTATGTAACTTAAAACATATTTAGAACTGGATAAGCAGAAAAGCATCTATATGTGTTTATATGTGGGTTTTATAAAACATGAAAAATGAATAATATCTAGAAAATAAATGATACAATACTATCACAATAAAAATTAAAATGTTTAATCTTCATATAAAAACAAGACTAAACAGTCTTATATAATATAGACATTTTTATTTTTCCTGTACTTCTATACGTTAAAATAAATATTTTACAAATATACAAAATTTAGGATTAGTACAAATTTTCTTTTTACTCACTCTGTCACCCTTAAGACCCATGTCACCTTTGAAGCCCGGAAAGCCATCTTCACCCTACAAATATGTGGAATGAACAAGTTTAATCAGTCAGTGGGAAGAATTCAAAATATGTCTATACAAAATCAGTGCTAATAAATAGGGAAAATTATTCTGAGGCATATGGATACTACTTATGAATCTCCGCTCTCCCTATCCCAACTTTGGCACTTTTCCCAAGATTCTCAAAATGGTCCCATCTTCCCAAAATTACTGGCTGAAAATTAGAGAATCTTTCACAGTGTGTCTCCATTGAATTTTCTCTATCTCATCGAGGAAATAATCTTTCTTTTATAACTATTTGTATTTTGTGCTACTTGAAAAAAGAAAATGTAAATATTTAAATAATTATCATTTTAATCTGCATTAAAGTCTTGCCCTGTGAAATGAAAAATTATTAACTTCAAGTTACTAATTTAGACCTAAAAATTTTATATTGTTTATTTTATATCATTGACTTAGACCAATACCTTCTAGCTCAACTGATCTCTGTACTATAATCACTTTTCAGATGAAGAATAGACAGACTAATGATATTCTTTGCATGTAGAGACTGCATATTGTAGAACTATAGGCACAAAACTGTGATGCTGGAAAGTAGGCATCTTTTAGCAAAGAAAATAGATGTGTTGGCTGTGAAAATTGTTCCTACTGTTCCTACTGAAATTAGCTTTGTGAACAACGTCATTGTCTAATTCCAATAAAAATTAAATTTCAAGTGGGTATTCATTCATGCATTCAAAAACCCTAAAGTATTACTGTATTCAAAATTCTTGGGGCCAGGGATTTAGCCCAGTGGTTCTGCCGCCTGCTTCACAAGCACAAGAACGTGATTTCAACCCTTGGTATCAAAAAAAAAAAAAAAATCTTCAGAGTATTTTGGTTTTTGTCTCACTAATAAACTCAAGGTCGAACACATAGAGTAAATTTTGTAGGAATGAAGTAGAATGTGTCTTCAGAGAAGAAAGACAAAATGAGGACAGTGATGATGGTGGTAAGCGTGGTAAGGCAAGAACTCAGTGAAAGATCGCATTTAGTTTCTAGTAGGAAAGGGATACAAGTTGCAAAATATGAGGAAAGGACATATTAGCCTGTGTTTGGAAACAAACCTAGGATGGACAGAAACATATATGTCCACATCCCGCTGCCCAAATGACTTATCTAAAACTGAAAACCAATCATGTTGAGTTTTACTTTAAAATTCTTCAATGTTTCTAAATTGGTAATGGGTGCAAATTAATATAAGTTGCTTCTTATCCACCCATGATTTAGACTTTGTTTACTTCTTCAGCTCTTTAATGAGTTTCACCTCCATCCCCAAGACCTTCCCCTGAGTTCTAGAGAAAAAGATTTTCAGTTCCACTCACAACACACCTGCAAACCCTTTCCTCCTCTGACCGTCTGAGGATACTCTAGCCTTCTTTCACAGTTCAACTCCCAAAACTTCTGCAAAATTTTCCCTGACTCCCTGCATTCTGTGTGCCCCAATTACAGTCTTCAAAGGAGCAGAATTCTTTTTGTAGAGGATGCAACTGAGGCATCCATCGATGGCTGAGGTTTACGAGCAGAAAATGACCACTTAACGTCTTGTTAATGATTGTGTTCATTACCTTATCCCTAGAGAGAAAGGTAATTACAGTTGCCAAATTTAGTTAGGAATACCGTGCTCCTTGTTAGAATCACTACTAACACTGTTTTAGGATTGTTCTGGCAGAGACATATTTACTTAAAATTCAACTCAAGGTAGGATACTATTTCTCACTCGTATTCATTAAGTGTATCTTTACAAAAATGCCATTTCTAAACATATGCCATATCAAATCCTTGAGAGTTTTAGACCCAAAATGATCAGAAGTATCTGAAGAAGATCTGAAGTAATCTTAAGACAAAGAAAACAGAATGGAACATGAAGATTTGGAAGATGTGTAAAAGAATCCACTTTGCCACATAGTTTACTCAGTTTGAGGTTTAAGGATAAATCTGAAATTCAAAAAATAGACAACTTTAATCCTACTTGAGGAAATAATTGCTATTTTAACTTTTGTTAACAATTTACATCATTATATATTAAATTAAAAAATTCAATTTCTCTCTCTATCTCTCCTGGGACATATAGGTGATTATACTGCATATTCAAAAAGGAAAGTAACGTAAATGAAAAATCTCTCAGGACTCGATGTTTCTTCATGGGAATTTCCTGATACAGTACTTTGCTGGACTGGCAGTAGAGCACAGCAGTGGTTCAGAAAAACACACAGCCTGTGCTCAGTGGAGATTGTCTGGGTGGACCATGCGTGAGTTTGAAAATAGGAAAGATTTTTTTTTTTATTGTTAAAAACTTTCTATTAAAAGTTATATAAAATTTCTCCAAACTGAGAAGAAAGAATGACCCATTAAATGGCATGTTTGACAGAATAAAGCAAGTTGATGAAAAGAGTCTTAGTTATTTCTTAGGACAACTTTATCATTTTTGTTTTTTTCCCGTTTTATAATTTCTAGTTGCGTGTTTGCAGGATCTAATGAGTTTGCTCTGTGGAGTTGGTACACAGACGTAGCAATCTTACATATTAGTTCATCCCTACCCTTTCCTCCTCACCTTCTCTTGGTTTCATTCTCTTCTGCAAATGATCTGTCTCTGCTTCTTATCATCTTATATTTTGCACTTTAACTTATTTGTATTTTGTTTTTCTCAAATAGAAGAGATTATGAGCTATTTAAACTTCAATATTTCGCTTAATATTATGATCTCAAGGTGCACATTTTCCAACAAATGACTGAATCTCATTTTAAAGTCTTAAAATGAGGTTTAATGAAAATAATCTTTCAATTTCTACATCAATTTAATGAGAACTAGAATCAGAATCCAGAACTTTTTACTTCTAATTTAAATTTTAATTTTCCTCTATACATCTTGTTTCTTCTAAAACTGGATACTACTACAAACAAGCAATAATCTAAAGATATTTTCTACACAGAAATAATATATTTTTACTTTTTTCCCTTTATGGGCTTTTTCTCTGATTTTTTTCATCATCTATCTTATTTACCTCGGTCACTTTGTAAATATCATTTAAAATCCTTTGTAAGCACTAACTATAGAGAAAACTTGGAATAGATATATAAACATTGATATTTAAGGTGCAAATTTCCAAATGGAATGAACATTGTTCACACAGACAGCCAATAAGCACAGGCTGTATGTTTTCTGAACCATTGCTGTGTTCTACTCCCAGCTCAGCAAGCCCTTTCTCGGGAAATTCATCTGGGATGACCAATGGTTACTTGTTAACATCAGAGTAGCTGAGTTAATTCAAAATGTATTCTGCAGAGCCAGACATAGGTGGCACACCCACATGTAATCCCAACCCTTGGGAGGCTGAGGGAGGAGGTTTGCTATGAGTTCAAGGCCAGCCTGGGGTACATAGTGAGTGTAAGGCCAGTGTGAACTACACAGCAAGACCCTGTCTCAAAACAAAAACCAAATAAATAAATAAATAAAATTTCCATTCGACAAAACTGTCAGTATAGTTATATACCTTTTCTGCATCTAACTAAAGTTTATCCCTCCCCAAAATCATGAATTTTAATGGGAACACTGATGCATCTTTTAATCCTCTCCATTCCTTGTTGTAACTAAATAAGCTCAAGCCTTTTTGATAGTAATATTATTATGAAAATAAATCATTATCCTTAAATTTAGTACCAATATCATATCAAAACTAAAGTTACCATAGTTACGTTATCAAATCCATGAATGTCATACTATGAATTTATGTGTTGTTTTTAATGTTTTATGTAATTTTATAGTAAAAGTCCATTACAAATTTTGTTATAAAATTTCTTTTGAACTTCAAATAATTTTTGAAAGATCTGGGGCTCTACATTCCTATTAAACATTAACCTTAAAAAACAATCGGTATTTCTTTCTATTCCATCAAAGCCAGTTAATCTATAAATGGTTTATAAAAATGCCACTTTCACATAGTTTAAGATTCATTATTTCTTCTATCTATGCCTACTTTTAATTTTATTTCCTTACTTAATAATTTTGCTTTCTACAGCATCAAATATACCACCTTTCCTGATCATAATTGATTTATGATATTTTTACTTATATTTCACTTTAGGAATTTTCGGAATTTTAATAGGGAAAAAAAAGAATACACATTTTGTGTATGAATTTTGGCAATTGTAACAGAGAAATAAGGAACACATGTGCATATAAGGATGCTGTAACCAGCCCTGTAGTAACCTGATTACACAAAAGCTAAACACACAATGTAAAAAGAGAAAAGGGATGCAGTCCTAACTCTGTTTATGACACGCATTTGCTTCTTTTCTATAATTTAGCCCTCACCCTAGGAAACAAAACACTACTTTTCAAAATGTATCCTGGAGGCAGAGTACAAAATTAAACTCACATTGGTTAGTGTGTAAGTAAATACACAATAAATGGAGCAATAAAATATGTGCTGAAGAAATTTAAATTTATATACAGGATATACAGAAATTAAAATCACCCATTAATTATATTTTACCTTTTCACCTTTTGATCCTTTGAGACCTCTGACACCATCTGCTCCCTGTGAAATAAATTAAAAGTATTAAGTGATTATATTTTACATTGAAATGCAATAATGTGAAAACAATTTAACATTTACCTTTACTCCTCGGGGACCGGGATAGCCAATAGGACCCTGAGGACCAGGAGGACCCTGCAAAATTGATTGCAATTTACATGAATAATATATTGTAATTAGTTCTCTTTTACATTCTATGATTTTGCTTGATAACTTTTAAAAATTTTAACATTAATATTTGGTAAAGATTTGGGGGGAGTTTATTATTTTTTAGTGTTAGATTATGGCTAACCATGTGATTAGCACTAAGGATTCTAAATTCATTATATTGTATATTCATGATAAAAATGAGTTAACTCTTATTGTTTGCATGAGGGTTTACAAATGCTCATGTATTTCAAGCTTGTTCTCCACTGTGGCGATGTTGGACCTTTAAGAGGGGGATCCTAGTGAGAGGAGCTAGGTCACTGAGAGGAGTTAGTGTTGTTCTGCCCACTGAAGGGATTTATGTATTTCTCAAGGGGCCCTGGTTAATTCCCGTGAACATAGATTATTATAAAAGGGACAGCGAAGTTCAGCCCTGCCTTATCTCTTCATCTTTATGTCTGGTACACACTCTCCACATGAGGCCAACTGACATGTAGCCACACAGTCAAAGGAACCTACACCAAAGGTCAAAGTGATAGCGTCCCTCAATCTTGTCTTGAACTCTCAAAATATGAATTAAATAAACCTATTTTTATGAACGACCCATTCCAAATAATTTGTGATAGCAACAGAAAAGAAAAACAATAACTATGCTGGCAGAAGGTAATTTTTGTTTGTTTGTTACTGGGGGTTGAACTTTGGACCTTGCTCTTGCGAGGCAGGCAGTGCCCAAGAAGATAACTATTAAGTTAGTAAAATAATGTGTATAATCAGATAATTAATATCAAGCTTTTTAACTTGAAAAAGTTTTTTATGCTTAGCATCTATAGTAGATAATTGCAGATTAACTGACAGAATTGAGTCAAAATGAAAAAGTTATATCCATTTGCACCATTCCCATAAGGAAAATCATGATCAAAATTATACATTTTTCCACAGTTGGTTTCACGTCTCTAGTATATGTAAAGGAAAGAACATACAACATACAATATTTCTACTCTAATGCTGAGAATTTTAATGCTATTTTAACACCTCAAAAAAAAGTGTCTCTACCTTAGCTACTGTTATCCAATATAGTACTAATATTGGATAAGTTGTTTTTTATTTTATTTAGATATTTTTCTAATCATTGTTGTTAAAATATTCTCTTAGTTAAAAGTTACCAGAAAGTAATAAGATAGAATTGGGGTTACATGAACACTTTACTCATTCTATATGGATCGACTCTACTATGAGAATGTTTATTAAAAGAAAGTTCAGTCTATTTTGTAAGTCTAATAATATAAAACTAAAAGTTTTCTATGTAAGCCATGCTGGTTTATTACATCAAAAATGATATTCGCAGTGTGATTTACATTACTATATTAAAAATAATTGTTCAGAAACTATAAACATACAAATAGAAATAAAATATTTTTTGTAGTTTCTAATATTCATATCTTATTTTGACTATAAGAAATGTGTATTTATATTATAAAGATAACCAACTAGGGAATGTTTTTCTTACTTATAAAGTGACAGAACATTTAAATAGATACTATGCAACCTACCAGAGCACCCTTTTCTCCAGACTGGCCTTCTTTTCCAGGGTGACCCTATATTGAGTAGAAATAAGATGCAATCTCAGTGATAACTTATAATATTATGAAGCATCTCCTTTAATTCAAATCTATTGAGATCTTATTATATATTTTTCAAAAAATATTGAATATTTTTGCTTCAACATTTTTGCCTTTACATAACACTGGAAAGTGTGCATTTAGAAAAGGTTTTTTTTTTCACTAAATATTTATTGGTCTTCAAAGAGTTCAAGAAAAACATGTAAAACAAGGCAAAAGCTTTATTAATGATCCATCCTATTCTCATTAAATAAATGTTGACTCGTGTTTTTTTATTGATCGATGTAGGATGCATGCATCTTAAAAAGATAACAAAAACATGTAAATGAGAAACATGAAAGCATAATAAGATCATACACACTAACAGTAGTACTGACAATGAAGTTATTGAGATTCAGTAGAGGCAAGATAAGAAATCTCATATCCTGTCTCTCATAACTCTAAATAGTTTGAAGTGAAAAATTCATAAATAACAATATTTTTAGAATAATAAAAGTAAACACAGTATTTACAGTATTTGTTAATATGTGTTGGAAAATAATAAATACTACTATATTCCTAGAGAAGGAAGAAATACCTAAATATTGAGGAATTTTCAGAGAAATTGAGAATATTTATGTTTCTTCTGGAACTGTCTTAGACTCTTGGAAATTGAAAAAGAGAAGATGGATAAATACTCTCTGAAAACAGACCGACACAGGGAAACATAAAATCAAAGGAAATTTCAAGTCTGCCACCGAAAATATGAGTGGATCTTTGTTAGCAGGGCTTTAAGGAAGAAGGAAAACAGTGGATTCTGGGAGGCTCTGTGGACAAAGCCAGGATGAATTCATCTAGAGGCCATTGTGAGCTCACGAAATCGATAGCAATATAGAAATGTCCTGTTGAGAAATGGTGTTTGAGAGGGATCAGTGTTTAAGTATTTCTTCCATTTAATTTTATTACTAACTGTATATATTCCTGCAAAACATGCAAAATCTATTTTTAAAATAATATAGAAACTTTAATTAATATGTAACTATTACTTACAGGAGGCCCATCAGCACCAGGAAGCCCAGCAAGACCTGGTTTTCCTTGTGGTCCCTGATGAAATAGAGTATGAAATATTTTATCTTTAAAAAATAATGACTTTGTACATAGAAAAATACTACTGATATTTTTAACATGAAGCAATTGCTTCTACACATGTATGATAAGTATTTAGATAACTTTTTAACATTTCATGTGAAAGAAATGGCATATAAAGAAGAATGAAAACACATTTAACAGATAACCAAAACTATGCTAGGTATCCCAGTTGGTGGTCCTAAATGTATCCGTTATAAATTAATAAATTAGTTTTTTTAATGCCCCAATAAACTATATCTTACAGAATAAAAAGGAAGAAATACAGACGAGAAAACCAGTGGCTTGTAGTACTAAAGATCTACACATTGGATATTTCCATCAGTAATGTCAATTTAAATATAGTCATGGGTCTTAGAGCTACTCTGTGGTCAGAGGAGCTAAAAATTTCCTATCACTTAGTAATGTCAAAACCATGTTATAATGTAACATAATGTGATAACATAATATATCCATTTTTGCAGTGACATTAAACAAGTATGCTATGCTCTCAGAGGCATCAAAATATTGCAGATATAATTACATATAGTGTGTAATTCTTTGGCTTTTTTGTGTTTTGTTTTGTTTGTTTTGTTTTGTTTTTGAGACAAGGTCTCACTAGGTAGTTGAGATTGACCTCGAACTCACTATGTAGCCCAGGCTGGTCTCAAACTCACAATGATCCTCCTGCCTCAGCCTCCCAAGTGCTGGGCATACAGGCATACGCTACCATGTCCGGCCCAGTGTATAATTCTTGATAATGATAAAAGTGGCCATATTGCTGGTTTATGTGTTCACTATATTATACTTTTTATCATTAATGTATAATCTTTCTATTTATAAAAAAAAATCTACCACAAAACAGTAGGTGGAGCTGAGTGTGGTGGAGCATGCCTGTAAACTCAGCGCTCTGAATTTGGAGAAGAAAGGAGAGGGTCGGGAGATAAAGGGGGGGGCAGAAGAGAGAGAGAAGGGAAGGGGAAGAAAGAGAAGAGAGAAAGAAAGAAAGAAAATGCTATAGTTTACGCTGCTGGCCGCAGCCTCCCACATCTTTGATTTGCTGTGCCTCTGCCTTGCAACGATAATGCAACACCAAGTGATGGACCTAGTGTACCTGGGTTTGCGCAAGGACCTGCTGTGGTGTTGGCGTTAGGTTGAAACTGCCTGAAGATATATTTCACAGAACAAGTTATGACCTTATCACATGACTATAATTCCGTAGCAATGATGTTGTAATGCCAGCAATTTTTGAAATATTTGAGGAATTTATTTTCAGTTGTCCATAGGATGTGAAAAAACATCAATATATTTTGTGGTTTGAAAATACATAAACCAACAGACAATGAACAAACAACAAAAAGGTAACATTCAACGGATCACTAATCTGTGCGTAACCACAGAGTGATTCAAATTCATTTAATGGGACCGTTGCTATGCTTGAACGGGAAGAATCAACAGCACAAGAATTACATCCATTCTTGCAAGAAGAGTAGGCATTTTGCTGAGAATGTTAACTGTCTCAAGTCCCCAGCCACAGCTGTCTATTGGTCAATTTTTTAGCCAAGTCTTAGAAACTATTGAAAGAGCAGAGACATAACAGCAAGTTGAAAATGTTTCTATTTTTAGGAGTATATAGGATAATCATTGTATTCACATTGAGTTATATTGTAGATCTTTACAGGAAACGTCAATTAAATCAGCATGCCACAAAAACTGAAAATGAATCCTTAAATTGAAAAATTAGACTTTATAACTGAAATGAATTGCATCTCACTTAAAGGATATAAACCTTTCAATCTTCACAAATCTGCAACCTCATATTCAGTCCGCTAATTTAACATTATGCGATAATTGTTGCTAATTGAAATGGCAGCATTTTGCCAATCATTCAAATTCCCTTTTACTGTCAAGATACTTGTATCTTCAGAACATAAACACAAAGGGAGCCCATTAATTACTATCATTAGCAGATGTAATATTTCTATGACAATGACCTGGTGAGCTATGCTACATAAATTTTATGTTGGTTTATATTTGGAGGTAAACAAGAAATAGTAGAACTGGTACTATAAGATGATTTTTTAATCAAATTGAAATCAATTCATCTCTTTAAAATGGGAATTCTGTGACAGCAGAATGTTTCTCCTGCTTTTTAAGTAGATTACTGTTTCATTAGAGGCATAGGAATAAAAAATTAATGGATATCATAATTCCTAGATTTTAATAAAATAGCAAAGACTTATGGAGTGCTTCTGCACACTATGTTAAGTACTTTATACGCATTTTACACTTTCAATGAATTCCATGAAATAGCAGCATGTGTTAATATGTGACAGAGTCGCAATCAGAAGAATCAGGTCCACAAACAAGCTCAGCTAATGGACAGTATTTTGTGTCCTGCTATTTCATATAAATGATATGAATGCTAAACTCATAAATTAAATCACATGAAACATTCAATATATTTTCTAACAATATAAAAAAACACAATAGAGTTGCTTCACCAGTTTTGATTATCTGACTCATTTCAGCACAAACATAATGAAAACACAGGTTATACAAACTTAATATAAATATTTATAAATTCTTGAAAATGAAAGGTATGCTACATTAATTAAAGCATATTTAAATATTGGATCACACTGTGTAACAGTTAAGAATTACTATTCACCAAGTAGTGGGAAACAAAGCTGTTAGGCCAGAGTAAACAGATAATAATATGTTATAAAATATTAAAATAAAAGTCTACTTTTTACCTAAATATGATACAAAATATATACTATGGATACCATGTAAGTAAAATATGTACCCTTGATATTCTTGCATTCTTGTCTCTTTTTGATGGAAAAGATTATCATTGGATTTACAAATTGAACATGTTCAGAAGAGAGATCAAAGCAGCATGTACTTGAGACAATTTTCTCCTAATCACCTAAGTAGTGTAAACCAAATCTATGTTATCTCTAGCTCAGCAAGAAAAATATATATATGCCAAGTTTCCCTAAAGGCATATGCCTCTTAACAATCCAGTGTGAATATAACAAAATCACAGTAGAATATAGTATTCAATAGGTACATAATTCCAGTGCAATTTATAATAGAGTATGATTATGTTAATATAAAAGATAAGAGTGGCGTAGAATATAATTTCTAGCTTTAAAGTCACTTTCAAAACCTTGAATTCTTAGGACATTTTCCAAAAATCACTTTATACTGATATTGTATAGAAAACATCCCTGTAGTTGAAGTATTTCAATGATCATTTAAATGAAACATATTAACTATGACAACTCATTAATTAGATAATCTAATTAGAATATTATCTTGTAATTTTAAGAGGTATTTTAACAAAAAATGTTATAAAAATGGCCAATGATCATAAAAAGTTACTAAACATCACTAAAGGTTAGAGAGATCCAAATTAAAACCAGAATGATTATATACTATTTCACACCATGCAGCCATAATATAAAAAAACAGTATCAAGTATTTGTTAGGCTGTGGAAAATCTATTATACTCATATATTTTTGGTGGAAAAGAAAAAGATAATAAACCACTTTGGAAAACAGTTTGGGAGCCTCTTGAAATGTCAAACATAATTTATATATGAATGAGCACTTTTAAGTATTTACCAAAATCAAATGAAAACATCTCTATGCAGAGTGGCACATAAATATTTGCAGCAACATTATTTTCAAGATAAAAGGTAAAATTGTATGTAAACTACTCATATTACTATCAACTGCTGGATAAACAGAACTTAGGATGTAATACTCTCTGGCAATACAAAGGATTGTAGTATCAATATATGCTATAATATGGACAAATTTCAAAAGCATCTTAACAAATGAAAGAAGCTAGACACAAAAGTCCTGTATTATGTTCTGTCACAAGATTCAAGCCATGTATTAAATTCATTTGCACATTTTATTTATGTGAAATATTCAGGAAAAAGAAAATCTACAGAGACAGAAAGCAAAGTAGTTGTTCTCTAGGGCTGGGATTGAAATTAGGACTGTAAATTGACACAGGGCTGTTTCCAGAGTGATGCAAGTTATTTAAAAGTTAGGTTGTGGCACTACTCTGAATTTACATGTATAATTAAAATATGCAATTTTTGTAGCATTGAAACCATACTTCAATACTGGTGTGGTATTTTTTTCAAGTTGAAATGTTCATAGAAATCCACAAAAAGAAGAAAAAGGTTTTATAAAGAGCCAGACAAAAATTCACAGTAACTACAGTGGACAGGAAATACAACTCTCAGGGAAACTGGCATAGGAGATCAAGAAAAAAAGATACCTCTCTCATTAAAGATTTATTTTTGTTTTCATCTAAACATTGTCACTGTATGAAAAACATATACATATGTGAATAAATGAAAATTAATATATGAAAAATGGTTCACAACTATCCCTTAGTCAGATCATGCTCTAAACCCTTTGTCAGAGTAATATTTTTAAGTAATAAAAAAGAAAAGGAGAGGCAAAATAAAGAGAAAATGTTCACTCATACCAGTAGGTTTCTGAAATTAATATAGCTGAGAATGTCATATTTGGAAACTGCCGAAATGGAAAATCTGCATCACTTTATCATTCATATTTTTAAGATAAATTAATACATTCTATTCACACTGTATTGTCAAGATTTAACTTCAGAATAATTTCTTACTTTCGGTGCTATCCAAGTATGTATGAAAAACAGAAGGTAGCCCTTATACCTTTCTTACATTGTTAACTTCACAACTGTTTACCAGAGATTACTACAATAACAGAGTGACTTACTTTTTCACCGGGAGGACCAATTGGACCTTGTGGACCAGGAAGACCCTATTTCAAAGAATTTATTTCACATTATGAATCACAAGAATACACTTTCCAAATAATAAATTATCAAGTCTCTATTGAACATAAAATGAGTATTGAACATCTGTGTAAAAGTATATAGAATCCTTCCACTACCTGGAGACTTTTGGAATTCTATAAGGTGCTTTGCATAAACTACTTTATCTGCAAGCAGACTATATTGTGGTCCTATTCAGGTGTGGGGATTCATTCTTCATTTTCTGAATGGTGAATGACTAATTTTTTTTTCTTGGAAATGGGGCCTCTGAAAGTTTGCTCAAATTAAAATAAGAAGAAAAATATTTCAACATCAACATTTTTAACATATTTAGCCCTACTTAAAAAATTCTGACTGTCAATTTTCTTGTGGAAAACAAATACTATTTTACCCATTATTTGAAAGGAGCTGTGACTGCTTAGACTTACTTGAAGTCCTGGATTTCCTTGCTGACCTGGAGGTCCAGGCTCCCCTTGCGGACCCTACAGCAGAAAATATAAAACCCTTAATATAGCTATTTGTACAACATAATGTTTTTTTTTTATCTTCTCATCTGAAACATAGTCCCAACATCAGTATCCTATCAAGAGACTCTAGAAATATTAATGCTAACAGTTGCTAGTGTATTAGCAAAATGTCATATAAATGTTCATTTTAAATTTAGCAGCACCAATTCTAGTGTTCAGATTACAGAAGTAAATTTAGAATGTTTTGTACATACCATGTTCCCTTTTGGTCCTGGGGGGCCATCTATGCCTGCGATGCCCTTACATGGAGAAAAACATGCTATGTTTGTTTAAAATTTTAAACAGTAGATAAAAAAAATCCTACTCTAAGGACATGACATACAGTTGCCCAAAATGACTGAAAATCTTTTTAAGATTAAATTAAAACTAGGATTTAGAGTTTAATGGAAATGAGGCAAGGCCTATACAATCCCATTTATGTCCTGATTGGAGACAATCTAGCATTGTTTCCCATTGTGATGTTTCATGATAAAAATGACAAGACAAAATAAAAGGAAGGAAGGAAAATTACCAGGAAGGGCATGATCATTTAAAATGATAGGCAACATCCTTAGAATTAAACATAATAAAATGTTCAATGCTCGACTATCTACTAATAGGGGTTTTTTTAATGGCTTGGCAGTTTAAAACCTTTGGCAACAAGCTTCCTCTAGAAAATCCAGAATGCTTCCAGAAATACATACAGGCTGTCCAGGAGGTCCAGGAGTTCCCCGTGGTCCCAGCAAACCTCGTGGGCCCTAGGAGAGAAACAAAGCAAATGCATGTCCTCCTAAGAAATGCCTTCAGAACGTGTCTCTTCCCTTTAAAAAAATCTGAATATATTATTTAGGGCAAAAGATTTGCACTTCTTCTCTTCACAAGCTAAAAGTAATATTTAAATATCATTTGTATGGAACATAAATATCCAGTGTCATAATAATCCAAAAGCCTGAACAGATAAAGTCTTTCTTAGAGAAACTATGTAAATTTGATTCTGTAAATTTCCATGTGAACCACTTGGGGAAATTTTAAAGAGAGAAACTAGTTTAATATTTTTAGTAAGCACTTTTTGTTGAATTTGAATGGCAACACTAATTTTACTATTCAATTAGATAGACTGCACAAACAGAAGATACCTGATTCTCATTTATTTAGAAGATTATTAAGAGAAAGACACAAGCAGCTAGATAACTTTATATGAAGATTGTGGAACCTATTTTGTAGGCATTAGTCCTTAGTCTGAGGAATAGCTGGCAATTTTTTTCCCAATTCTATTGGTTGTCTCTTCACTCTGTTGACGTTTCCTTTGCAGCACAGAAACATTTTAATTTGATGATTTTGGTACTTTTTCTTGTGCAACTGGAGAAAAAAGAAAGTCCTTGCCTTCAATTCCTATATAAGAATTACCCATTTTATCTTCCCACAGGTAAGTGCTATAGTTTCTATATTTAGATTTTTGATCCATTTTGATCTTAGTTTAGCACACAATGAGAAATATGGGTCTAGATTTAATTTTTTTGCACATGGACAGTCAGTTTCCAGGCATTATGTGGTAAAGTGTCTATCTTTTCCCTGGCATTTTTTTTTATTGTTGTTCCTTTTATCAAAGATCAGATAGCTGAATGTTCCTGGACTTGTTTCTACATCCTTTATTTTGTTCCATTGAGTAATGTTTCTGTCAGCTATTTCTTGGGCAGAAGACTAATATCTAACATACATGATGAACTAAAAAATTAGATCTCCCCAATACAGATTCAGTCAAAATATGGATAATTGAAATGAACAGAGACTTTTCAGACCAGCTACAAACAGCCAAATAACACACAAGGAAATGTTCAACATCTCTGGCCAGTAGAGAAACTCAAATTAAAGAACACTGAAATTTCATGCTATCCCAGAAGAATGGAACATGAAGTCAAACAACATAAATGCCAACAAAGCTTTGAGCAAAAAAGGAACCCTTCTACACTGTTGGTAGAAATGTTAACTAATACAGCCTTTATGGAAATAAACATGGATGTTCCTCAAAAAACTCAGCTAGAGATTCCAATTGACCCAGCTACTACTGTTCTAGGTAATTTCCTGAAGTGTTAATGCCATCATAATACAGTGGCACCGACACCCATGTTTATAGCAGCTTAAATAAGAGCTAAATCTTGGAAATAGCCTATATGCCCATCAACAGATGAAGGGATAAAGAAAATGTGAAATTTGTGCACAGTGGAGTACTACTCTGCCATACAGAAGGATGAGTCATTTGTAGAAAAATGGATGCACCTTGAGATCATAATGTTAAGTGAAATACATCAGACACACAGTCTATGTTAAGCGAAATACATCAGACAGTCTATCATATAGTTTCTCTTATATGAGAAATACAAAACATAAAGAGCAAAATAAATGATAATAGGAAACAGGGAGATAGGGAATGGAACCAAGAGACAAAAGGAAGAGAAAAAGAAAGGAGAGGAAGGGAGTGAAAAAAAATGCTTTAAGTACATGTACGAAGTCCCCACAAAGAAAGCAATCATTACGAACTGTAAACACGTACTGATGATTAAAGCGAATGAAAAGAACCACGTTTAACAGAATTTTTTTTAGGGGAAAGAAAGATTCATTGATTGAACTAAGCAGCTTTGCACTGAACTACATCCTCAGCCTGTGTGTGTGTGTGTGTGTGTGTGTGTGTGTGTGTGTGTGTGTGTTTTGAGACAAGGTTTCTCTATCTCTCTAAATTTCCCTGACTAGGCTTGAGTTTTCAGTTGTCCTGCCTCAGTCTCCCAGAGTGCTGAAAATACGAACATGCGCCACCAAGCTTCACTAAAATATTTCTGCCTGTATTACTATTTAAACGATTGATTTTCTTCTCTCTCCCTTTCCACTTCCTTGAATATTTGCTTGACCACAGATCACTTGACAGCCCCAACCTGGAGCAAATGGAGACTGGAATTAGGAGTACTTTTTCTATTCTAGTCTTCTTGTGAGCTTCCTTTGAGGAAACCTACTGAGTTCAATTTACTGATTAATAGTATTTGATAAGAAAATAATAAAATCTTTATATATGGTATATACTGAGTAACTCCTTCTATTGATTCTCCTGACAAGTCATTAATACTTAGGACATAAATAGAATCTGGAGCTCCTGATAACATTCAAGTGAGGGGAAAAAAGCACACAGGGAAAAAATGGGCAAATTTTCGATGGGTAGGATGTTATTTTCCACATCAGTTTCTCTCAAATGTCTTGGATTTTCCTTATAACAAAAGAATAGCCCTATATCCGTTTCTTATTCTCCTAACAGGACAATGACTGCTAAGTTTAGGAAAGACTGCACTGCCTGCCTGGATTTATCACTGCCCTTACATGTGTGACATCAATCACTGCTCATCAAAGTAAGAACGTTCTTATTTGCAAAGAAGGAAAGCACTGCTTACCGCTTCACCTGGAAGACCCCTTGGCCCGATTTCTCCATCTTCTCCCTGTCAATGATGAATACAGGGCAAGGTGATCAGACACATTCCTTTCAATATGATCTTGTGCTCCTATGATTTGATTCTATATACATGTTAAAGAAAGGAACTGTTAATATACCCTCATTCCATCATCGCCGGGAGAACCAGGAAGACCTTGGGGGCCTCTTTCACCCTAACAGATAAAAAATAACATAATTAGTACATGAAATAAGGAATATATTCAGAAGACTTTCAGGAAAGTAGCTTAACCAAATACAAATGGACATTTTACAAGGACAACTTGGGTTTTGTCTTCAATCACTTCAGAGATAAATCATAGTTTTTCACCTTTATCTACCTTTCCATGTCTACTATATGACATAAATTAGTGAATTTACAAATATTTGAATTAACTTTTTCAGATTTATTAAAATGCACCAATACTGAAATATTGCATAACATTTCTATTATTCTTTAATAAAAAGTAATTTTCAGACATTTAATTATTATAAGATGGAGTTAAAAGTTATTTTTATATCATCTCAAGCATGGATACACTTTGGTGCTGTTAGCTAAATATTTTCTACCTATAAATATTTTGTTGTTTTTAAATCAGAACTTTAGTATGAAGAATACTAAATGAATTTTGCTTTTCTTATTTAAAAAGCACAATTACATATTTGTCACTACCTATTAGACACATACTAGATATTTTGCTAGACATCAGGAAGGTTCTCATCTCTTTTTCTTTCTTTTCTACAGGCCCAATTTGCCTAAAGATTGTATTATCTTTATTCTCTATTTTCTTCATTCTGGTGAAGAATGGTGGATATAGCCAAAGCTTATCTTTACTTATTTTTAGTTTTTGAGAAACTGCCTGTTCATTTAGTTTCCCCATTACAATTCCAATCGCCATCTTATTTTGTATGGTGTATTTTTCCAGCATTAGGAAATTATGAACTCTTGCTTGGAGTGAAAGCTAATCTCATAAAGAAATATTATATTGCCAGTAAATTGTTATGTTAATGAACAATAGCCTATAGATGTCCTCTTGTGATTATATTTCCACAAACAAAATGAAAGCAGAAAATTGAGGCAATTATTAAAAATTGGAAAATGCAATCTCCACATCTCCATTAATGTGACCTTTTCATACACATGAATATAAAGAAGCTGCCTCCTTTGTGGTTGCATATGTAGCATCTGAAAGTCTAAGAACAATTGATGTTACATAATATTAGTTGTGTTTCTTCAGATATCTACTATGGGAAATAAATTAATGAGGTAAAAGGTATAGATTTGAATAGGCCTCCTATTTTTCGGATATCTTGTTCATCGTTAAGATTATGAATAATCAATAGTGAGCATATGAAAAAAGCATATTAATTTACAAATACTGGGATTAACTTTTTCAGTTGTCTTAAAGTGCACCAATACGGAAATAACATTTCTAATATCCTTTAATTAAAAATAGATTAACTTACCCTGTGACCTTTTTCACCCGGCAGACCAGGAAGTCCATCAAACCCTCGATCTCCCTATAAAGTCGTAATCATTATATTCATCACATTTCTAGTCAGCTCTGCACTGTAATTTGAATGTCAATATCATTTCATACCCCCAAATTTTATTTTAAAATTCAAACTTTTCCAGGGTGAAATGACATACGAGAGCTAAATATACAAATATCTGAGCTCTTGACCTTTGATCCAGGTTCTCCGGGCATTCCTCTTCCTCCATCTGCACCTGGACGACCCTGACAAGGCCAAGAACAGAATTAAGCTAAAGGGCTGTCTACCAATGGAAGGCAGAAGAAAGCAAACTAACTGATCATTGTAGATGGACCTCAAGACGCGCAATAAGAATCAGCCATACCCTTTTTCCAGGTTTTCCTGTTGGACCAGGGGGACCTTGGACACCTCGAGGACCCTATATCAAAACATCACAATAGTATCATATTGTAGAATTTTTGGTCATAAATTCAATAACATTCATAAAATGCCTTTAGAAACTGTTACTCTCTTAGCTTTAGTTGCTAATTTAAACACAATGAATTTATTTCCATGTAAAATTACAGATTAGAGCAGAAGACAAGAGAATCAATTTTTAATGTTTTCTTACATTAAAAAAGTCATTATTATTTATTAAATACACAGGTAGACATGCAGTGTAACTTAAAAGAAATATAATAGAATAATTTAAACTTCAACAATGCTCTTAACTACTTGTTTTATTCTCAAAATGATAGGTTTTACTTTTCCACTGACTGAACATATTCTTAACCATCTGTCACATTTTTCTTCCCTTTTCAAGCCCTTTTCCTTCATCTTTGCTTCACTTTTTAGATATTCCATCCTAGATATCTGGGATTTTTACTGCCTTTTTTCATAGTTGAATCTCCTATTAGATTGTAAATTGCTGAAATTTCCAACCAAATCTGTTTCAGCTACTCTTGCAACTAACCGTAGTGTCAGGTATATAACGGTACTTCATCACCGTTTTTACTGATACTAGACCAATCCAGATTAAACATTAAAAAGGCCCAATACATTCATTGTAGTTAGTAGCAGTACAATGTAATGTTTTGTCTATATCTACATATATCTATATGCATGTATCTTGTGTGGAGAGTGATATATAGGTTTGAAAGCCAAATTACTACAAAGTTAGTAATTGATGACATGTAGTTTCAGCACAACTATAACATAGAGCTTTATTATCTATTCTTTTTTAGCATTAATTTAAATGATGTGTGTATCTTGGATGTGGTAAAAAATGAGGTCCACATTTGAAATTACAAATAATTTTTATGATCACTATATTATATTCATATATAATATAAAGTTAAGATTATCTAGCAGCTAGACGTAAAGAATATAGTTTTTAAAAATATGTTGCAGTGGAAGTACTCTAACCTGAACACAGATGGAAGGCCAAGTGCAATAATAACATGAAAAATATTGTGCATTTTGAGGAAAATGATCTCTCTTTTGATAGCACGTCTCTGTCTCTGGCCTTAGGCAATCAAAGGAAACTGCAAAATCTACAAACACTGCTATAGTGTGCTTTCAAATTCATAGCTTTGTGAAGATAAGAGTTTGATTTAAAAAGTTTACAAACTACAGTAGAATAAACTCCTAGAAGTGCAGGTAGTGTGTTTTAACATTTTCACACAGTTCTCAGTTAAGCTACAGATATTTTCCATCTTTTCATGGCAATGTTAACAAATGTGAATAGGAAGGCTGTCATTTTCTGAGTCAACCAAATATCTTATATCAGTTTGGTTTGGATTTTTTTCTCATTTTGAAATAAATTATGTTGCATCCACACAATGCAATACTGATAATCTCAGAGGCATTAGGATATGCCAAAAAGCTCCTCTTGTAAAGTTATAAAATATGTAATTTGCATAGAATTCTTAAAAATAAAAAGTTGATGAATGTATCAGAGGTCACCAGGTGTTAGGGATCAAAAGAAGGTTCTACTGTAAGGGAGTGACACCAAGAAAGTGCTTGCAGTTATGGAATATTATCTAATTCAGTGTTTTTAGTATTTATTATTGGTCGTTACAAAGAATATACATATAATTTAATTTTTCCTGAGAATGTTTTTAAGATAAAACTGAAAAGAAGGGGAAAATTTAGTGGATGACTATTTGAGAGACCCTCCAGCCCAATGTGCTAAGGAAGTATTTTCATCTATAAATGATTGCATTTTTAAAAATCACTTTTGTTTTGGTTTTCAAGAAAACATGTGTAGAATGTAGTGGTTCTACTGTCACTAAAAACACTTTTATTTTAGTACCCTATCAATCTAACATTTAAAAATATTCATTTTGTATGTTCACAATTTCTCTCGATTTCCTCATCTTTATGATGGTTTTGAAGTTATTTTCTTTTAAATGTGTTAAACAGACTCGATGACACATATGCCAAATTTGCTCTCTACAAAAACACAGGTGTGAGGCAAAACCACTCTGAGCACAACTACAGTTTCTTTGCTCTGTGGAACCTCTACTCAATTTATCATTCTAAAGCTCTGTTATTTTCAAGCCTCTTTCCAGCCACAATTTAAATACTGTAAAATTAACAAAGTTACTGACAATCAACTAGTCACTCTGGAGTTTTCCTTTAAAGAGGTGATGTAATATTAGTCTTTGGCATGTGGAAAACCAGTTTTTCCAGCATTATTTATTAAAGAGGCTATTTTTCTTCCAGTAAAGACGTTTTGTCCCTTTGTCAAAGATAAGGTGGCTGAGTGTCTTTGAAGTTGTTCCTGTGTCTTCTAATCTGTTCCATTGATCCTTGTGTCCTTTTTATTTATTCATTTATTTTTGCAAGTTCTATGCTGTTTTAATCACAATCACTTTATTGTATAATTTCAAGTCAGGGATTATCATGTACCCTGCCTTGCTGTTGTTGCCCAGAATTCCCCTTGCTATTCTAGGTCTATTCTGGTTCCAGATGAATTTTAGGATTGATTTCCCCTAATTCTGTGAGGTAAGCTGATGGTGTTTTGATAATGATTGAATTAAATCTGTATGACATCTGCATCTCTCAAATGACCAGTGATGTGGAACATTTTTTCATATATTTACTTGCTGCTTTTACTTCTTTGTCTGAGAAATGTCTGTTCATTTCAGATGCCCATTTTTGAATTTGGTCTTTATATTTGGGGGTGCTGATTGTTTTAAGTTCTTTATATATTCTAGATAATAGTCCTTTGTCTGAGGAGCAGCTGGTAAAATTTTTTTCCTGCATTGTAGGTTGTTTCTTAGTTCTGTTGATGGTTTCTTTTGCAGTGCAGAAGCTTTTTAATAAGATGAGATTCCAGTTGTTTATTCTTTCTGGTAGTTCCCGTCCTAGTGAGGATTTGTTCATTAAGTCTTCTCCTATGCTGATGTCTTCAAGACTTCTGCCTAACTTACCTTCCAGTAAATTTAGTGTTTATGTTTTAATATTTAGATTTTTAATCCACTTGGATATTAATTTAGTGCAAATATAAGGGTCTAGTTTTAATCTTTGGCAGGTTGAGATCCAGTTTTTCCAAAACCATTTATTAAAGAGGCTATCTTTCCTCCAGTGGGGATGGTCAGCTCCTTTCTCAAAGATGACGTAGCTGAGTACATCTGGAGGTGTTTTTGTCTGAGAGATGCAGATGAACACAACACTGAGATTCCACCTCACCCCACAAAGAATGGCTGCTTTCAGGAAATCAAACAATAACAAATGTTGTCAGGGTTGTGGAGAGAAAGGAGCCCTTCTTCGTTGTTGGTGGGAATGCAGACTGGTGCAACCACTGTGGAAATCAATGTGGAGATACCTCAAAGAGCTGGGACTACAGGTTCCATTTTAGCCAGCCATCCCTCTTCTGGGTCTCTTTCCAAAAGAATTAAAAGAATCATACCACGGAGATATGTGTGCGCCTATGTTTATAGTGGCACAATTTGTAATAGCTAAAACTTGGAAGCAGCCCATTTGCCCATCAGTTGGGAACTGGATAAAGAAGATGTGGTTTTCTATATAATGGAATACTACTCAGCCATAAAGAGTGAGAAATTGGAATCATTTATAGGAAAGTGGATACATATTGAGAGTAGAAATAAGTAAGTCACACATGTGTAAACACCAAATAGTTTCTATGGTGAGAAAAAACTATAATAGTACATAAGATCCTAATGATATAATTGACATTGTGAAATGGAAAGAAAAGGGCTAAAGGTGTAGGGAAAGTGGGAAGGGTAGGGGAAAGGTAATAAGGGAAAAGAAAAAAATATGAGAAAATGAAAAAATGGAAATGAAGTATTTGTAAACGGGGAAGTGAGGGCAGGGACAAGGGAAAAAACTGAGAACCAAGACCTGTCATGTAAAGGTGCGAGATCTCAGTAACGAATGTAACTGTACTGTATACCTAAAATGTACCAATAAACTCAATGAGGAAAAAATAAATAAATAAAAAATAAAAATAGCTTTAAAAAATCTGCGTAACAATTTTGGAAGTATGGCCATTTCCACTATACTGGCTCTTCCTACGCAAAGGCAAGGGATATCTTTCCATTTTGTGACATCCTCTTAGATCTCCTTTTTCAGAGTACTATACTTTTCGATGTTAAAAATCTTTTACTTCCTTTGTTAGACTGATTCATAAATATTTCATTGTTCAATATTATTATGAAAGATGTGGTTTCCCTAAATTTCTCTCTCAATGAATTTTTTATTTGTGTACAGAAATGCTATTGATTTTTGAGTGTTGATCTTGTATCCAGCTATTCTGCTGAATTTGGTTATTAAATCTGGAAGTCTTTTGCTGGTGTTTTTGGAATCTTTGATTAACAATATCGTGCCATCCACAGATGATGATAATTAAACTTCTTCCTTTCCTATCTTTATTCCTTTCATTCCTTTCTCTTGTCTAATTGCTCTGGCCAATGTTTGTAGAACTATATTGAAAAGGAGTGGTGATAGTGGACAACCTTGTCCTGTTCCTGACTTAAGCGTGAAGGATTTCAGTTTCTGCCCATTTAGCATGATATTGGCAGTTGGTTTATCATAGATGGCTTTCATGAGATTGAGAAAAAGAGCATCTATTTCAATTTTATTTAGAGTTTTTGTCATAAATGGGTGTTGGACTTTGTCAAATGCTTTATCTGTGTCTATTGAGATGATCATGTGAATTTGTTGATACGGTGTATTACATTTTTTGATTTGCATATGTTGAACCATTCCTGAATCATTGGGATGAATCCTACTTGGTCCTGGTGTATAATCTTCTTGATTATTTGCTGTATTCTGTTTGCCAGTATCTTACCGAGGATTTTTACATTTATATTCATTAGGGAGATTGGCCTGTACTTCTCTTTTTTGATTGGATTCTTCTCTAGGTTTAGTATTAGGGTAATACTTGCTTCCAGAAATAGCACTGGGAGACAATTAATTAAACATTTTAAAATTAAAAGAAGAGGTGATATAAGCTTTATATTACATACTGGAAATAGTAGACACTTAAATTTTCCTAACAGATAAAATAAGGGTCATAATAAAATAAGTGAAAACAGCATTTTTTTTTTTTTTTTTACCTGAGGACCAGGATCACCACTCTCACCTTTGGCCCCAGATGAACCAGGACCTCCCTGTACAGAAAAATTGAAGGCCTAATCAGTCACTTAATTTAGAAATTCCCAAAGCACTTTTATCATATTTTCACTTGAAATAAACATTAGAACCCCAGATGAACCAGGACCTCCCTGTACAGAAAAATTGAAGGCCTAATCAGTCACTTAATTTAGAAATTCCCAAAGCACTTTTATCATATTTTCACTTGAAATAAACATTAGAACATGCTTCATCAAATTAGTACGATTCCATTAATTAATAAAGTAGGCATTTCACGTCATTTCCTAAAAGTGCACCTCTTCTCAACATAATGACTACATTTCAGCATATGAACTGCATTTAAGGGTTTATATGTCACTAATATCTACCCAGAAACCAACCTCATGAATCACATTAAAATTTCTTTAATATGAGCACTATCAGAACACTTATGCTGACGCAAAGGTGTATCACTACATTCTGCTATGTACTAGAGTGACACAATTTCACAGTCCTGTGACAAAACACTTTCAATGTCATGAATACATTGATTCCATTTACACAAAACGGGTTTGGTAAAATATCACCGCTTTTATAGCCTGGTATTTTCGGATGCTGAACTCAAGAGTTATAAATAGCAATGATAGATGTTATTTTTATCATAACTGTCCTGAAATAATGTCAAAATATTTTTGCACATTGTTTTCCTCATGCGAAGAACTCACGGTAACAAAATTTTTTTACAGATGTTTGCCTAATTCAAAAAGTTCAACAAAAACCTCATGTTAAATAGGAAAATATATTAAATTACCTCATAAAGGAGTTGTGTTAAAAATTCATACTGGGCCACACATCATCCCTAAATGCTTTAGCACATTAAAAATAAATATGGTGATTATAGTTAAATATTGTTCATACTGAACAGGTATACTCTGTGTGTTTAAGATGTTGTGATTAACTTAAATCAACATACATGCTATTAAATTGAGTGTCGCATAAAAGTACAGTGATTAAAATTATACTAAATCAGAAAATGCTAGCTCTCCAGAGCCTCCTAGTGGTTCCAAACCAAAACAACTACTGACCTGACTCAGGAAATGGAAGATCAAGAAGTATAAATTTTCTAATCTTAATAATTAAATTAATGATGATTTTCAAGCTTCAGGCTAAGAATACTTGCAAGTTAATTTTTGCAAAATAGAATTTTACAAAATAAATCAAACTATCAATTACTATATTGAATACAATAATAGAAAGCAATTAATTTTTGACTGCATTATATCCTTTGTATATAAGCACTAGGTAGTTAATAGGTTGTATTTAATTTGCCAAAACAGTTATTCTAAAAATTGTCATAAGTGACAGTGAAAGAATAGGGAGATACATTTTCAATATTTTCTGTGTATTTTATAGTATAGATATCCATTTTTGCATGAAAAATAGGATAACATTTCTATATATCAGTTTTTCATTGAAAAACTGTCCACATTTATGTTAAAATCTTATGTACATTGTTTTCTAAGCTCTAACACATGAACTATTTTTGTAGACTACAGAATTACTAGATATTTCCATGATTAATAAAAATATTTTTGAAGAAAGCATAATAGAAATTGGCTATAAAACTAAACTGGGATACTCCCTGAAAACATAATTTAGCAATTCTAATTCTAAAATTTCAGCATTAGTGTCCCAAGTTCAGGTGTCTTAGAATTTTTATTTTTATTAAAATATCCAGGTAATTTGGTTGCACCAGTTTGGAAAACACTAACATATTTTCCTCAAGTATGTAAATTTGAGTCACTGACAAATTAACTTTTATTTCTTCCCTTTTTACATTACGTAAAATCTTCCATGATTCTTTTTGTATTTTTGAAAAGCAGAAGCATAAAAATTTTCAAGATAAATTTGATAATTGTTCACAAATGGGTATAACTTGAATTCCCTTAAACATGTTATTAGGACATATATTACACACGGGTTCCTATGGCAGTAAGTGTAACACTTCAAAATCCATAAAGTAGGGCCTGGGATTTAGCTCAGCTGTTCGGTGGCCTGCCTTGCAAGCGCCAAGGATCCGAGTTCAATCCCTGGTAACAACAACAACAACAACAACAACAACAACAAAACATAAAGTATTACAATCTTAAGATTGAATTGAGGGGAATATAAATTTATGGAAAGCCACCTAACTTGCATAAAACATGAGGAAAACTGTGTCATCTTCATGGGATCAATAAGTTAATTAGAAGGCTATTTGATTTAAATTTCAATTAAAAAATTTGGTAATACATGTCAACTGAGAACACAGATAAGATTTTTATCTTTTAGACTAATATGTTCTATAAAGTTTTACTTCAAGAAAGCATATTGAAGGCTAGGGATACAGCTCAGTGGCACTGTGCCTGCCTGGCAGGAGAAAGGTCCGGAGTTCAATTCCCAGTAGAAGGGGGGTGGGGGTGGGTGCATAATGGAAGCATATGAGATTATATTAAAGCATAGAAATATTTTCATAATGAAAACAAAGTCATAAAGTAGACTTGTTTCTCATAAATTCTAAAATCAGTGATAAAACTGGTTCTTTTTTTAAAGAACTTGATCTGAAAAGTATTATTGTGTTGTTTGTGAAATGCTTCATTGCTTAACCTTAGTACATTTCAAAATAACTGAAAATATTTTAGAAAAAAAATTGAAATATCTTAGCTTGTTAGCATACTTGTAAGTTAAAAGAAACCACACTGTTATTTTCTAAGAGTCCAAAAGAATGAAAATAATTTCTCTATTATCTAAAGTAACTCCAGGAATTTTGAGGCAACCATCAGTTTAAACCAATTATCTTGCTTGCCACTGAGATTTTTAAATGAAACATTTATACAAGACTTTGAAAAATTACTTAATATGCAATTAAATCTCAAAATTAGAAAATTAATCTCAAAATTAAAATTAAATCTCAAAAATGTAATGAAAATTGCATGCTATTAACTGAATCTAAGCCAAATAAATCATGTAGTTTGAGAAATTAATAGTTGTATATGTGAGTGAATTATATTTTTATTTTATATACTTCACATAATGAACTTCAAATGAGACCTTTTTATCAAAATAGGTTTAAAAATTGAATTTAAAGTAATTTTTTGTTTTTGGTGTTTTGAGACAGGGTCTCACTATGTAGTTGAGACTGACCTGGAACTCACTATGTAGCCCAGGCTGGTCTCAAACTCACAGTGATCCTCCTGCCTCAGCTTCCCAAATTCTGGGATTACGGGTGTGTGTCACCACACCTGTCTTAAAGTGATTTTTTTTCTCATTGAGTTTATTGGTACATTTTAGGTAAACAGTACAGTTACATTAATCATTGGGATCTTGTACCTTTACATGACGGGTCTTGGTTCGTATTTTTTACCCTTATCCCTGCCCACACTTCACTTCCTCCTCCCTTCCCTATTTACAAATGCTTTATTTCCATTTTTTCAATTTCTCATGTTTTTTTTCCTTTTCCCTTTTTACCTTTCCCCTACCCTTCCCATTAATTGAAGCAATGTCAAGAATGAAGAGTTAGTACTGTCTACCTAGAATGTACCAATAAATTAAATTTTAAAAAAGAATGAAGAGTTATAGGTACCATATTTTCATTGACTTCAGATAGCAATAGTACCTGGCAAAAGATGGAGGGAACTACTAGTAAGAACATTTTAACATATATCATCTTTCTGGGTAAAACAACCTACCACAGGACCTGGTCTTCCAGTCAGACCCATTGGGCCAGGTGGGCCTCTCAGAGCAATCTAGAAAATAAGAAAGATATCAAATTCAGGAAAGTTCTCCTGGAATAGCATTTTGAAATACAGTGGTCATCTGCACAGCTCGCTTCTACAGCACATGATTAACACAACTGTAACAGCGACATACTAGAAACAGTGCCAGGTTCCTGAGGAAAAGCAAGTGGCTAGGTTGACAAAATACCTAAGTAATTACAGGACACTTTTTAAACTTTAAAACATGAAGAATCTATACCATATATTGTTAGGATTCAATCATTAATTAAAGGTAAAATAGAATCAGAACAAATCTAATATCTGATAATTTTCTTTTCTGATATGTACTTCAGAATAGTGTATATCATTTTCCTTTTAAATGTTCAGACACAATTTTCATTGAAAATATTCTTAAAAGTGAGCAGTTTGAGAAACTTTAAAAATTCATAACAGTACTTTAGGAAAAAATACAAAAATGAGAGTCTCGCTGCACAAAGCATGAATTGGACAGAAAGCATTATGATAATATACTTTTTCATTAAATCTCAAATTTAATACTTCATAATAATGACTGCATAATCAGGACCATTGGACTGATTTCGTGCAGTTTTGTTACACTGAATATTAGACGGATGTAATTAGCATACTCAAAAAGCTGCAATTATGTTGACTACAACACTTAAAAATCTGATAGATGCTATATCAGCATGGTGAGATATTTTTAAAAATTAGTGAATCTAAAAGATTAATATTTAAGTTTATCCCAGCATATCAAAATAATACTATGATGGAAATAAATGCAAGATCATGTTGGAATAGTGCATGGGATGAAATAATAGGATCTCAAAAATTCCACTTCTAACTCACCATGAGATTTTTGACGATATACCTCTTAATCCTTGAGATTAAAAATATGAAAAAGTCAAATCATAATGCTTGCCACCAATTTTTCAAACACATTAAAAGGACTAATGAGGAACATATGGGCCTCAAAATATTTAAATTCAAATAATTACCTTTCATTTTTTCAGAATGATAGAACTTATAAGCTAAACCACAGGAATCACAAATTATTAAATATTTTTGAATTTATATTATACATGGTCTAATAACCAAATATTTAAACTTACATTATCTTTAAATATGATGTAGTCATTAATGATATTTTTTTCAAATTAATTGATTTAGGAAATATATAAATATTGAAAGTAAACTACAGTTTTTAGTTATGTTTTCAGGTATTTTGCACATTACATATTTATGATCATAAATAAAAATTATGAAAGAAGGGATTTATATTAATTGGTAAGTGGGTAACTACATCCATACCAAACATAAAACATTGTTTTGGGTTTTTTTTTTGTACGGGGTATTGACTCAGTACCTTGTGCTTGCCAAGCAAGTGAAGAACCACTATGTTGTTCCTTTCTTTAAAAAATACTATGAAAAAAATCATGCTTTCTGATTCCTTCCTGGTTCTTTTTTTATTGTTCCATGTATATTTTAATTGCAACGAAGACTGATAAGAATATAAATGAGATTATTTTGTCAATCTAAAAATTTTTGATGTTTTAAATTTATAACAGGTTTTAAACTGAAGGTGAAGCATAACTGAATGCTTTTGTAAAACTACTTTCGATGATAAAGATTAATTGAAAATACAGACTGGGAGGTCCTTTTTATACATAATAAAGTTCAAGAATCTTAACTTGCTAGTTTATTTATGACATTTTAAATAATAAAGGTGGTTAAGGTGAACATATTTCTTTCAAAATTTATAATTATATTCATCAGTCAATGACTTACAACTTTCACAGAAAAAGGATGTGCAAGATAAGGACTAGAGACACAAGTTCACTGGCACTCATTAGAAAAAATTACAAATTTGTGGTGCTATAAGAGGGAAACAGTCCAAATTATATAGAGAATTTCTACAGGGATCAGTTACTTAATATTCACTTAAGTATCAATACTGTAAAACTAAATATAATTTTAGCATTTGTTCCATGTATATTGCACATACAATTCACACACACTCACACTCACACACACACACACACACACACACACACAATCAGATTCAGGAATGCATGTTTTGCTCTCTTACCCGAGCCTGCTGCAGTATGGCCTGAGCCTGTGCTTCCTGAGCAGAGATCGGTGGTCCTTTAGAACCATCCCCACCATAACGAAACTGGGAAGAGATCACATAAAGAAGCTCAAAACTCTCCTTTGTCAAATAAGTTTTGTTAGGTGCCTTAATTACTAGATAAATAGCGCTTTCTTAAAATGATGGCATTTCACAGAAGTCAAAAGTGACTCCTAGATTTTTTCTTAATTATCTTTCAACCTCTCACTGTTTGTAAGGGGATTATAAAACACTTTCCAACTTACAGTCTGTTTTCACTGGAATAAATTTTTAGACAAATCTTTTCTTCATTGAGTTTATTGGTACTTTTAAAGTGTACAGTATAGTTATATTTATCATGGGGATCTGTACATTTACATGACAGATCTTGGTTTCATTTTTTTTCCCCATAACCCTAACCATCCTTCACCCTGGACAAATCTCTTTTTATCTGCATATGTGTTACTCACTCCATTTCTTCATTTGTAAAAATTCCAAATGTATGTACTAATTTCAGTGATGGTCACAGACTTATCTCTATTTTGTGGACCAAAATTTTTGAGGTCCCCATAAACACAGAGGAAATTTCCAAAAGATATATTTATTTTGATTGAACATTCTTGAATATTCTTCAAAAAATCAATCTAACTCATTATTCTACCACACAATTCTAAAGTTTAACTCAAAATACCATGATTCAATGTTTCAATCTAAAAAATTTTTGAAATTTTATCACATTTAAACTGTAAACTAATTTTTTGTTTGTCATTACTCTAATTTTGAGAAATGAATAATGACACATTAGATACCTCTTTAAAAAGTTTCATAAAAGTCTTTATGTTAGCCAATAGTATATAATATTATGTCAAATACAATATGAAATGTATCTTAATGATACAACCAAGGAAAAAACACATAATTAATAATATTAATAAAGGCTTCATTGGCAAAAGTGTAATCCAACAATGAAAATCTTTGTGTTAATTTTTTACCAGATTTTGTTCAGTAAATTTTCCTTAATTTCCAAAGGCTGCATGATTTCATGTGTCTCTACTCATAGAATGGTGCTCTGTAAAAGGTGTTTTTCAGAAACATGACAAAAAAATATGAAATCATCTTAACCTTAAAAAAAAAAAAACATACCGGTAACATTAACATGGTACCAGGAGGACCAGGAAGACCATCAGCCCCTGGTAAACCAGGACGTCCTGGAGGGCCCTAGGAAAATAAATGAAATAATCAAAATCAATAAATAATAAAATTTATTGGAAATAGGATAACTTAGAGTAACATAAATCTATAAAACTAAGTTGCTATTTTACTCTCCGAATTGGTTAATCTCATTTTGCTAAGTATACATGGAAAGTATACCTAAATATACCTAGAAAGAGCTGCATTTCTGTGCATTAGTTTTGGAGGATCTAAATAATGTTTGGTTATTAATGTACAATCCAATTAAGATGTGAATTCTACTCAGTTTAATAACAGCCATGAATTGCATATGATGAACATTTCCTGGGTGTTCAGGGATGAATCTGTGTGAGGAATACAAATGATTAGAGTTTGCTTTATACAAGATAAAACAGAATTTGAATGAATGGTAGGAGATCTGTTTAAAATTAAATTAATGAATTTAAGATTTATTTGTGTATTCTCTATTAGATACTTAAAGGATTTAATTAATTTATTACATAAATTTTATTTTAAATCTATGTCTGAGGTTCTTTAAATATCATCAAAATAGATACTCTATTAACCTGTATAATTACTAATTTCAACATGTTAAGTTGACAGGTTAAATTTATTCATAAACACTAATTTAGCTTGAATTCTAATTGATATAAAATCAAACACACCTATAGGTGGGCACATTTATAACTTTAAGAACCAATAAGTATATTACTAATTGTCCAGGATGAACATATTCACTATGTATCATAAACATATGTTAACTTTTAAAAGACAGTGAAAAAATATAAAAGTTTTACATATGACTATGAATTCTGCTAAGAGAAGATATGCAGGTGATTATAAAAAATATTAAATATATGTGCATCTATGTACAAGAAAGTGACCCTCAGATGCAAGGTATATGCCAAAAACTTTCAATAAAAGCAGACATTTCTATCCAGCTAAGTCAAATTTAGCAGAGAAACTAATAAATAATAAAATTAATCAGTAACTGTATGTAAGGGATAGAAATCAAATAATTTACCTAATTATAAAAATATGCATCAGCAATTTCCAAATGTTAATTTCTTTTAAAAATTTAACTCTCAGTAGAGTTTATACTGAATGTAGAACTCCAAGATTATACTTTATATAAAATTATATTATTTCAATGGGTTCTCTACAAACTTTAAAAAACTTCCAAAGTTTAAATAAGAGCTTCTTTGAATAAATCATTATTCTAAATTTTCACACTATTATAAGAATAATTTTAATAAAATCATTTCTTTTTTTTTTTTTTTTTTTTT